CATTTTTTTTAATTACCAAACCTTTTCAAATATACTTGATAATATGATTTTTTACCTCTTGACCTTGAAATATGACTTACTTTTTAAAAATATTTCAACTAAATAAGTTTGAATAAGAGGATTTTAATATTTCACATGTTCATTATCTATGAGAAGACATTTCGAATATACTGTGATTTTTGACATCATTACCTTGAGGAATGACTTTCTAAGAAAAATTAACATTAATTAAACATAATTTTTGAATGAGAAAAGATAGGTCTTTCATTATCCTTCTTTGCAATACTAGTACCTGTGAAAAGATTTCAAAATAAACTCGAAATAAACTAAACAAGATCTTAGCTTTATTACATTAAAAGACAAGGCTTTCATATTTTTACATGTGCATTGCCTGTATTATGATCTTTACTAATATTTTAGCTAACCTAAGCTGTAAGCTCAAGTGAACTGTTCTGATTATCCGTCGTCCGTCTGTCTGTAAACTTTTCACATTTTCTACTTCTCAAAAATCATCAGGCCAATTTTATCCAACGTTATCAAAAAGCAGAACTTTGAAAAGGAGATTCTAAATTGTTCAAATGAAAGTTAGATCCCCTTTCCAGAGTAAGATACACTATGTAATAAAAAAGGCAGAAATAGGGTTGGGTCACTTAAAAATCTTCTCAAAACCCCTGGACCAGAACTGATGAAACTTATGTGAAAGCTTTCTTTTGTAGTGTAGATTGTAAATTATTCTAAGCATGCCCCCGGTAGTAGGGTGGGGTCAGAGTCGGGGATCACAGTCTTACATTGAAATGTTTAAGGAAAATCTTCTCATCAAGAACCACTCTACCAGAAATGATGAAACTTGTATGAATGCTTTCTTTTGAAGTGTAGATTGTAAATTGTTCAAATCATGGTCCCAGGGGGTAGGGTGAGGCCTCAATAGGAAATCAAAGTTTTACCTTGAAATATTTAGGAAAAAAATCTTCTCAAGAACCATTGGAGCAGAAAAGATAAAACTTATTTGGGAGCTTCCTGGGGTAGTATAGATTCGAAATTGTTCAAATTATGCTCCCAGGGGTAGGGTGGGGCCATAATAGGGGATTAAAGTTTATAACTGAAGTAAATACGGAAAAATCGTTGAAAATATTGTTCGCGAACCACTGCACCAGAAAAGATGGAACTTATGTGAATGCCTTTTGAGGTTGTGAAGATTGTACATGTAAATTGTTCAAAACAAGGCCCCAGGGATAGGGTTAGGTCGCATTAGAGTTCAAAGTTTTACATTGAAATATATAGGACAAAAGATGAAAATAGTGTGAAAACTTACAGAGGTACACATGAGTACAGATTCTAAATTGTTCAAATCACGCTCCCCTTTGGAAAGGGGCACAATAGAGTATATATATATATATATATATATATATATATATATATATATATATATATATATATATATATATATATATATATATATATATATACATTATACCTCTGTGAATTTTTTCAATATAAAAATATGACAAAAAAACCTGCTATCTTTTTAAACCGTGGAATAGTTTTTGTGCTTTTAGCCCATGGTGAAATAGTCATCAAACTATTCACCGGCAGCATTCCGTTTCCGTCGCTTTTCATTTCGAAGTTCTTCTGGTTTTATCCAGATTGTGACGTAACACAAGTAAAGTCGGCTTCGGTATAATAAATCACCTATTTACTGACTATTCGGACAATAGCAAGTTTATCGTCCCCCTCGACAGCAACTATTTCCCTCGGCTGCGCCTCGGAAAATAGTTGCTGTCTTGGGGGACGATAAACTTGCTATTGTCTTCATAACCAATAAATAGGTGTATAATATATATATATATATATATATATATATATATATATATATATATATATATTTATTTATTTATATAATTATTTATTTATTTATATATAAGCAGATAAACCTCTTTATCTCGATTGTTGCTAAAACGCGGAACGGAAAACGGAAAGTATGATTCCATGTTAAATCCCTTAAAATATAAAAACAATACCAGAAACAGTATATATCATATAATTTTTGTCATATTTAATCCTTAATTATTAAAATAGAGTTGATTTAGTCATGTTCATTATCTTATTTATGAAGATGTCTGAACATAGACAAACCACAGAGAACGGTAAACGGAACAGAAAATATCTAATGCCGTACATACATGTATATACATGTAACATGTTTTGAGCGAACATTTCCATAATTTTCAATGCATATGTACCTTTGCACCTTATGTGTGGATAACGTACATCTCTGTAACCACCCCCGCACTAAAATATGAATAACACCTCTATATTTTCTCGAAAATATGTCATTTCCCCATCAATCTCATCTTGACGTTATTCTGTGGAATAAGTTTGTGCTGTTTTGCACAATTTGGCCATATACATGTATGCTATCTTTCTCCTATCCCCGTTTCAGGTCCCTGTGGATTGCATCAACACTCTTGTAGTTGTTATAAACTTTTTTAAAATCGTTTAATTTCCTTAATCATGTTAATGCCAGTGATCGTTGTCTCTAACACAATTGTATAATTATGTACTCTGTTTTTCTCTTTCTTTCCGCCTGTTTCAAAACAACATTGCCTCTTTTATAATTAACAATGATGAATTTTTCTTTGACGAATAAGCCATTTTTTAAATTCAGATTTGGATGAGTGATAAGTACAGGCACGGATCCAGGAATTTTTTCCAAGGGGGGGGGGTACACCCCCGTCAAAAAAAAAATCCAACCTTGACAAGCAAAACAACAACAACAACAACAACAAAAAAAACCCGTAAAGTCCTTTCCCAGACGTGAAAAACCTATTGGGGGCAGGGGGGGGGGAGGAGGGGGTAGTCGTTGATTTCTAAAGCTCAATACTTATGACTTTTCTTACCAACTTTATACAGATCCGCGTTTTCGAGGGGGAGGGGGTGGGGTGGTCCAAGTTCACTTTTAGTTGGTTTAGTATATACATTAAATAACTCTGCAAATTTCAGGGGACGGGGGGGGGGGGGTCCGGACCCCCGACCACCCCCCCCTCTAGATCCGCGCATGAAGTGAGACATTCTGATAGATAATGGGATGTGAGTCTAATTTATCTGTATTTTATTGACCATTGCATGTATATATGCCACATGTTTTGAGGAAAAAAATCGTGAATAAATCACATTGTTACGATAACTTTTAATTAGATATGATTTACATGTATTAGATAAAGAATATTGCTTCCTAAGTCTGAATTATACCTGTGCTTAGTGAAAACTTGACATCAAATTTTCCGTTTTCCGTTCCGTTCCGCGTTTTAGCAACACCCTTTATCTCGAATTCAATGGGACCGAGAAAAGAGACTTGAGACTTCCAAATCACTTTGACATATCACACTTGCAATTGTTTCGTATACAGGGCACCCCTACTAATTTTTACCACAAGGTACCTAACTCGATTTCATCCACCCCTCTTCAAACTTGTATTTTATTAATTTATCAATCAGGCACATACTTTAATAAGACATAGTTCGCTTTGAGATACTTTTTTTCTTTTCTTATGAATCTTTCAGACGTCCTTGGTCGAGCATCTTTATTGTAAACCACTCATTTTTTTCTCAAAAATTACCTCACGACATTTTAAGACTTTCATAGACTTCAGAATGAAAAGCTCGGAATCAACTTCAGATAGACAAGATTCAAGTTGGTTCAAATCATGATTCCATCCTCCCCGGGGGATTGGGTGGTGCCACAAAAGGGATCAAAGTTTTTTTTGATTTAGGAATATATAAGAAAAACACTTTTAAGTCTTCTTTTTAAGAACAGCAAAGCCATGGCTAGTCTTATTAATATGGAAGCATCCTCGGGTAGTGTAGATTCAAGTTTGTTCACATCATGCCCCCCCCCCCCCCCCCGGAGAGTAAGATGTGACCAGAATAAGTAAAAGTTTTATATAGGAATATATAGTGAAAAATCTTGAAACATATAACTCCTCTTTTCAAGAACAGCAATGATGAATCCCATTAATGTGAAACCATCCTGCGGTATTGTAGATTCAGGTTTGTTGAAAGCTTGAACTCCGGGGGTAGGGTGGAGACACAAAATATTTAGATTTAAAGATTTTTAAAACTTTCTTTTCAAGAACAGAAAAGCCAGGATTAATCACTTTTATATGGAGGCATCCTTCGGAAGTGTAGCTTCAAATCATGACCCATGGGTGTAGGGTGGGGCAATGAAAGCCACCCCCCTTTTTTCATAGGAATAAATGTATATAAGGAAAAAGTCTGCTGATGCCAAAGTGATTCAGATGAGCACTATGGTCCATGGGTCTCGTTTATTTCATGATCTCGAAGTTGACCTACTTTTCAAGAGGTTTAATTTAACTGTTGCGCTTGCACCGGAACATATGAATGGAAAAATATCAAATGTTTTTTAGCATGATATGGACAGAAAAGATAGGACAGACAAGAGATTAACAATATGTTAATTTATTCATTACACTGCAACCAACAGAACCCGAAAAGGGGGGCCAAAGGTCTCTGAACTGTTGGATTATTTTCTTGCAAAGTTATCTTTCTTATCAGAGAGCCATTACACCTTATACTCAGAAACTTTGAAAACTTCGTTTAAGGCGTACAAGTCGTTCTAATTTTACCTGCACAATTTTGTTTGTATTAGTTATCCCCACATACACTGTAAGTAAGAATCTGGTTGATGTTGTATATATTCAGGAATACATTGCCACGTCTGGAGACATAATCAGATCCAGCAGTAGGCCTATTAATTACTAGTACATAGTTTTATACACACACACACGATATTACATTGCATCATTACTATGTTGTACAATTTAAAGCTCTCTCTCTCTCTTATTCTTAAATATATAACATACTCTTGTTTCAAGTGGTTTCAAGGAGAATTAACCCTATTCTTGAGCCTGCTGTTGGCTTCTGCACCAGTAATCTTAAATTTCATACCGATTCATAATTACATGTACAATTTTATCAGTCACGTGAGACATCAGAGCGTTTATTAACCATATGACAGTTTATCAAACAAGAAATCTCGTGTAGTGAAATGACATGTGTCAGTAAAAGATGGAGGGCCTACTCCGTTGTGCTTGGAGGAGTCCTGATTCACCTGACCCTGGGAACCATTTATACGTTTGGTATGTCTTTGTTATCATACAATTTAACAAGGTCAATTTAATCTTCTTCTAGCGTAAATCCCTCTGTGTATAAGGAAGAATATTTTTCGTTTTATTGATTTCGTCGTAGATTGTAAACAGTGATAAGTACATGAATATAAATAGTGACAGGTACACGTTATACATAGTGTATGTTATATTAACCTGAGCAGTTGCACCAAGTATACAACCCTATCATATATATTCATAATGTTTATTATTAAGAAATTAAAGCGCTTATAGGACTTAATGTATGTCGCTGTCTCATACATCTTGCACAATGCAAGCGCTACATCGTCGGTATTCAGCATTAAAACAATTTTTTGAAACAATATAGTTTTGCAAATGATTAATACGCATATTCACATTTTGTAACTTGGTTAATACAAGGAGATGAATAGGTTACAGAAGTTATTTAAAAATAACAAATAGGTTACAGAAGTTATTTAGAAATTATAACAAACAGCTCATACGCATGACGATCCATGCGCAGATACAGGAACTTTTTCCCTGGCTTGGTATTCAATACTAACTCAAACAAATGTCCAAAAAGTAAAAAAAAAAAAATAAATAAATAAAGTGTACACTTCCCATAACATGGAAACCCTCTTAAAACGTACTACTTGGGAATGTTGGATGGGGGTAAAAACAAGTTACTTTACTAATTCTAAGTCAACCGAGCTTAGAGCTCTCCTTATATCATATTACAAGGGCCCTGGGTGGTGACTTGAAAAAAAAAAGAGTTTACGACATCGGGACACAAGGTCTTCGGAGGAGAGTGGTGCGATATACCCCCACCCCTTTAAAAAACAAAAATATTTCTGTCTAAAGTTATGTAGCTAGATTTTGTTCATAAAATATTTGTGAAAAAATAACTTCCAGAATCCACCAAAATGATATCGGTTTATTAAAAATACCCTGGCTTTGGGGAGGGGTATCCTACCCAACACTCCCTTTTGAAACTAAGTGACATAAAATAGAATACTTGCTGCTCTGGGAACACACACACAAAACTATCAAATCCTACACATTCCTTTAAAAGAATGCCATTTACAAAGTATCCCCACTGAAGCCACAAGGATCATAATACATGTATATCAATGAACAAATATGAACCTTTGGTTGTTTTCAACTAATTATTTTTCTCGAAAGTTCTATCCTATTTGAACCATCTTCCTATCTGTATAGCCTCACCATACGGAAATTTAACCTCTTATGCAACTTATTTAATATGGTGGTACATTAAGTGTTTATTTCAATTTAATGATCATTGCTGCTTTTCGATATTTCAGGTTTGAATAAAGACAGGAAAAAATTCAGGCTGTAGAAAATTTATTTTTCCTCATTTTTTTGTTCATTTATTTATTTTTTTTATTTTATTCTATTAGAGCAATTCCTTTCTTTACATAAATTAATAATGATAGTCCTAGTTACAGTTATGTACAACAGGATACAATGATACATGTAACCACACAGTCCATCTTCTAAAAAAAATGTTTCTTTGTCCTCTTTCTGTTCATTCCCGATTTTTTCACCATAGATATTAAACATCAACATCAGAACTTTCAACATTGCTTTTAAAAAGAGGGTGTGAATAAAATAAAAGGTGGATGAGTGCTTGGTTGGAAAAATTCCGGATTTTTAAAAAAAAAATTGTTTCCTTGAGATGTAAAAAAAGTTTTGAGTTAAGCCATTTTAGTCAGTTGGTCGGGAGAGGGCTAACAAACATTTTTTTAAAGATGACCCTACTGCACTTAACCTGCATTATTTCTATAGCTAATTATTGATAGAAGTGAATTTAGTGAACAACATTCCTACATTAGTCTTCATTTGTTATTGCAAAAAATAGAATTTAATATTCGGACTAACATCATGAGATTTTTTTATAAGAGTGAATTGACAAAAGTTATTTCCTATTGGCCGCCATATTGGGGGTCAAGATGCTCTGATTCTTCAATTATTTAACCAGTTTAGCTTTTCATGATGGCCAGGAAAGAAAAAAATTTATTGCTGAAAAATATTTATACGTTCCTTAAAGTGTCCCTTCTTTCATTATTTTCATATTGTAAAGATTTTTTTAACTTATATTCCTGCCACACGGGTCGCCCGCGTGGCGCAGTGGTTAGAGCGTTCGCTCTAAAGTCGCGGAGTAAGGAGTTGATCCTTACGTCGCGGGTTCGAATCCCACTGTGGGATGTGGAGACTGGTCCTTCGGATGAGACCGTATAAACCGAGGTCCCGTGTCGCAGTAGGTGCTGGCACGGAAAAGATCCCTCACTGCTTAATAGCCCTGAGTGCCGAGTATAGGACAAAATTTGCAGCTCTCCACCGGCAAGTGGTGGCGTCTCCATATGAGTGAAAAATTCTCGAGAGGGACGTTAAACAATAAACAAACAAACAAACAAACCCTGCCACACGTTTTAATTTGATTAGTCAAAGAAGGAAAAATCAGCAGGTTGACCTCCAAGATGATGGTGAAGGGGACTCATTAACTCAGAAATTAAAATACCAATATTTTAACAATTTTCTTTAAAGTGTAATGTCTTTATAGGAAACATGACACCGTATATGACATCCTACATGAAAAAACATAAAATAGATGAAACTCTGAATTATGCTGAGAGTACGTGGATTATGTCTTTAGCCGCTATGGGTCAAGGAACGTCCATGTTTCTGGGAGGCATGCTGTACAAAGCTCTGGGACCCAAACTCTCCACGCTTATTGGTGGCTGGTTAGCAAGGTGAACATTTGGTTACCTATCTCCTGATATAAATATAAAACATACGATAAATCTGATCATTTGGATTTTTTTCTTTGATATGTATATATGTGTCTATTGCAAACGTTATTTGCTTGTCAGCTTTTTGCTACAGAATTGAAATAGAATAGGATTCAGAAGCGAAATATAAAAAAATAGTTGATAAACTGAAACTGAAATTATAGATTTGAAGCTGTTGTTTATAATGCCAACAGCCGGTACATATGCTTCACATTCATTTTACTTATAGTAAAATATTAAAATATGCATGTTTACAATGTTGATCAGTAATAATTAAATTAATATTCTTTTACAAGAGACTGCCGAGATAAACAGTTTATAGGGCAATGACAAATGTTAAAAACAAGACCTCTCTTCTCCAGCAATTAATATAAACGACAAATACACACTTTTAACTTGTACATGAGTATCTTACTATACTGTTCGAGCTCATGAGTAGGTGTTTAGAAATTTTTTAAATTTATTTCTAACTAATTATATAGACTTGTGTGTTTCTTCTTTCAGTCAGTACCTAATTTACTCTATTTTTTTGCAGTGCAGGTGTAGCGCTAACATTCTTCACCATAAAATCCTCATTTTATTGGACACTATTCACATATGGATTTATGTTTGGAATTGGTGTCGGTTTGGCTTATGCAACACCAATGGGTTGTGCCATGAAGGTGAGTTAATTTCACATGGACCCCTCTGATGTGGTCAATTGCTCAAAGGTCAAAGTCAAACGTGCAAGATGATTGATATACCTTCATGTACACTAGTGGTCCTATGCGACTTTGTCAAGCCTTATGCGACTTTGTCAGTTTCGTAGTTATTTTCAAAAATATCATAATATAAAATATTAGTCATTGTCATTTAGTCATTAATTATTATAATTATCAAATGGTCCCTTGATTTCCAGGCGCGGATCCGGGATATTTTTTCCAAGGAAGGTGGGGAGGGGGGGGGTTCTACTTAAATAATAATAGTTGTCAGACCCATGATTTTTTTGTTATTCCACAGTGTTCAAGTCTATTTTTGACTAGTGTACATGTATATGGTTTGCGCATTTTGCAGTGGTTACCACACAAGGAGGGATTGGTTAATGGCTGTGTTGTCGCTGGTTTTGGTGGAGGAGCTTTCATCTTTGATCAAATTCAAACAGCCTTTATTAATCCGGACAACCAGAAGGCAGATTTGAACGTAGATGGAGAAAAGTATATTTAAGACGTATAGTTTTTGATTATTCGACAATAACACACCTTGCCTTCTCCTAAAAATCTAGATCTCTATATGGAATCATCTGAAGCCAAACTTTCATACATTTCATGTGGAAGCTTTCCTTCTTTGATCCTTGTCCCTTATGATTTCCTTTTTCAGGTATTTTACACAGGACAGTATTTTAGATAGAGTTCCACATAGTTTTCTATTGTTAGGCGGTTGCTACGCCGCAATGCAGTTTATCGGCTCCATGTTGCTTCAGGAACCCCCTGAGCAAGTAAGAAATCAGACTCTGTAGTTACAATTTTACATATTGAGAGAAATAAAAGTTGACGGGAAGTAGAGGTCTCTAATAACCTGTTTCAAATGCATAGGAGAGAGATTGAAGTTTTAAATTTTTCATTGTTGTTGGTTTGTTTGAACTTTAAATTAATATACTTCAGTATCAAAAATACCAGACAAATAGGACGTTTTCAGATTTTAGGTCGACATAGTATACATTTATTGACCGGACTCTCAGGGAGGCCTTTTGTCGGATCCGAGAATCGAATTTTGCCTGAGACAGTTAGAGTGATAGCAACCGTTTGGTTCAAGGGTTCGGCGGAACGCATTCTTCCCGTCAATATTTATTTTGCACCTTTTACGTTTTATGATAATGATATTTAATTGAATAACTAGTGTGAAATTTATATGCTTGTTTACTCGTGTCGGATGATCCCACTTAAGCTGGGGATTAACAAAAGCAAATTAAGAATGACGTAAGAATTGCCATAGTCCAACATCTCACTGACCAGTCCAGGATCATATTTTGGACCTCTTAGTAAAAATATTGGAAATGTTAAACTTTTTAGAAGTACAGATTAATGTATGAAACAATTTTTAAGGGGAAACAAGTCTTTTCAATGGAAAGACCTATGGGAAATTTTTTATGCATGTATTGATATACGTCTTAACGCTGTCAGAATAATACAGTAGGTAATTAAATACATCACTCATCAAAATAAATAAATCATTAAATCAATCAACCATGTGTACATGTACCTGGCAAATAATGGGTTTTAAAGTGAGCACTATTAATAGTAGAATATCACATTGTGAAACACCTCTTCCTTTTTAATTACATGTGTAGTATCGTCCGTTGCTCAATTGCGAAGAAGTAGGAGAAAAGAAAAGTGGTAAAAATAATGACGAAGCAGCCGCCATGCTGGATGATGAAAGTATCGGTGACAAAGAAAATGAAAGTTCTGACAGGTAAGAGATCAGCAAAGACTAATTTAATGCTATCATAATCATGGCGTTTTTTGATGTTTGAAGCATTTCACCGTTCCTATACATAAAGAAGAACAGATCTGATGTTAGCTTTAATTTTTCGAAACTTTCACCTCAGTCATGTGTAAATGAACTAGCATAGCAATTGTCTTCATTCAAATCCTGAAATAAATGCAAAATAAATTAGATCTAGAATGTTGCATTTCATAACTGTAAGCGTACTTGCGTCAATCGACATTATTTTCCTGTATGTTGTTTTCTTGCAGATATTCAATTTATTTATACTTCTGTCAAATTGTATTTTTAGTGAAGAAAGAAACTTTTCGCCGAGGGAAACATTACGACAGTCTGAATTTTACAAGCTCTGGTTCATTTATTTATTCAACGGGCAGGGAATTAGTTTTATATCTTCGTTATACAAGGTATATTCTATGTTTTAAGGATAGCACTATATCTCTAAAAAAATATCTTACAGAAATTCGTAGAACAGCTTATACAGGTATATTAATGCTGAAACACGTATTTATCACAAAATTTCCCTGTCAAACCAGCCTTATTTTCTCATTCTTTAAATGCAAAAAAAAAAAAAAAAAAAAAAAAAAAAAAAAAAAAAGAAATGGAATCATTCCCAAAATGAATCTAAATTTACTCTGATTGTAAGAAGAATAAATTAATTTGAACATGTTGAATCTGAAAATAGTAGAATTCAAGAAACTATGATAAAAAAAACACTCTTCCAAGATAACCGTAACATTATCCATATTTATATCCAGTGAAGTGCTTAATTATCCTCGGCTAGTATTAGGGTATGTAAAATAACAGTTACCAAAAAAAAAAAAAAAAAAAAAAAAAAAAAAAAATTGAGTTTTCAATTTTTCGTTCAAAATATATTGAAATCTTTGTCAATATTGTTTAAACCTTCGGGAAAACGATAGTTTAATATTTCATAGCTTGTTTTTTTCTGTGTTTTACAAATATTCTGACCTATGTTTTGTATTCCAGGCGTTTGGACAAACTTTCATCAGTGACGACTACTTTCTGGCAGTTGTAGGTTCGCTGTCAGCTGTCTGCAATGGAGGAGGTCGCATAATGTGGGGTGCCTTAGCAGATAAATTTTCCTTTAAGGTTAAATATCGATTATTCAGCTTAAAAAACACTAATACTGCCCATAAAATATTTAATCTGTTCAGAACTTAAACTGTGTGCATATTACTACATGTAATAAGAAACACGTTTTGCCAATTGCTTAATCGCTGCCGAATCGTCAGTCTCTGGCATTCGACAACGAAACAGGATCGAACTGTGTAAAGAAACGCATATCTTAATACATAAGTAGCCGAAAAAATAAATATACAACCAAAGGTTTAAACAAAAGGAGTAAGCCCTCAACTAATGAAGTAAGAATAAGATGTTTGTGTTATATTGGTTGTTATGAAGATGGCTCATAAGATTTTTTTTCTGTGTTTTCAGACTGCCATGGTATTTTCGACTGGCCTATTCTCCTTTTTTATTCTAAGTTTTGAACTGACGAGTTTAGTTGGAAAACCTTTGTATCTTATATGGGTTTGTTGTCTATTTCTATCATTCTCCGGAAATTTTTCACTGTTACCAACAGCTACTGCGAGGGCGTTCGGGAAAGTGCACTACGGTGTCAACTACGGAATGGTCTTCACTGCCTCTGTAAGTGTTTGAAAAGGATCATCATCAGATGATTAGTAGAATTAATCGATATACAAGTACACACACAAAAATACCCACTCGATTTCTGGATTTTTAGTTCTCTTGTGTCCACATCAATTATTTTTTTGGCTTGTTTGATTTATATTCTTTCGTTTGTAAGCTTGATTTACTAGTCAAAGACCAGAAGAGCTTATGCGATCGTTAAGTTCGATTCCAATAAAACTTTGCACATAGGTAGACTACACTCATATACATAATTCTATACATCGAATCCAGATTTCGACGAATGATTTGCTACGGTTGCTAAAAATATAAATTTCTTTGAACTACTTTCTCACAGTTTTGGTCCGATTTCAAGAAAATGTATAACACCTATATATCGCACTAATGTACACACTGCTACGTTTCATTTTCTTTATGCCCCCGGATCGAAAGATCCCGGGGGTATATTGTTTTTGTCCAGTCTGTCTGTTTGTCTGTCTGTCTGTTGTCAACTTTAACCTTGCCCATAACTTTTGATTGGTTGGAGGTATGACTTTCATATTTCACGTGTATTCCTTGTGACAAGACCTTTCTTTGGGTACCATCATATTTGACCTATTGACCTTGGAGTTTGACCTACTTTTGCAAAATTTTATAAGACTTTAACCTTGGCCATAACTTCTGAACAGTTGGTGCTTGGGGTTTCAAACTTCACATGTGTATTCTTTGTGAAGGCCTTCATTTGGATACCAACAACTTTGACCTTTTGACCTTGACCTTGGAGTTTGACCTACTTTTGAAAAACTTTAACCTTGGCCATAACGTTTGAACAGTTGGTGCTTGGGGTTTCAAACTTCACATGTGTATTCCTTGTGACAAGACCTTCCTCTGGATATCAACCTCTTTGACCCTTTGACCTTTACCTAGGAGTTTGACCTACTTTCGAAAAACTTTAACCTTGGTCATAACTTTTGAATGGTTGGAGCTAGGGCTTTCATACTTCACGTATGTAATACTTGTGACAAGACCTTTCTTTGGATACCAACAACTCTGACCTTGGCCATGACTTTTTACTTACATTAAAAAAAAATTAACCTTCGCCATAACTTTTGAACAGTTGCAGGGAGGGGGGGGGGGGCGGGCGGGGTGCAGATCTCATATTTGGCTAAAATAACTTTCAGAGAAACGCCTAATTAAATTTCAAATTAAGATGTCTTCTGCCAGCTTCTAGAAAACATTTCCGCAGAACTTCGTTAACTTTGTTTTTTTCCTGTGCGAAAATTTAAGTACATGTAACTCATCCTTGGATTTTCGGAGAATCATTCTGATGTAACACAACTAATATTGCATGTTTGTTATAAATTTCAGCCACATTTGTTTTCTTCTCTTTATCAGGTTATATCATCTCCTGTATCAGCGCTGCTGACGTCAAAACTAAAAGCTGTCATCCACTGGTATGGCATGTTTTACATGGTAGCATTTTTTTCATTTCTAAGTAAGTATCACGATTGTGCTTGTGTTGAAATATTATGGTAACATTAATCAACTTAACAAATATGAAGTACATGTACTAAAAATGCAAACTAAACATGTGACAGATTTTTTTTTCGGGGGGGGGGGGGGATGCATTCAAGTTCAGAACTTTTTTCCAAGGCTGTGTTTAATTTTGATGTTGCGGATCGGCAAGGTCTAGACTTTCCTTTTGTAAAATAACATACCATCCGGTAATTGGTGTTGCATTTAGGTAATGTTATATTAGTTGTATGCATTTAAACTATTTGATTTTTTTTTATCTATTAGATACTACTATATTAAAATTATAGACTCGAATTTTTGGCCTTTAATACCGATAAATCGAAAGAGTACTGTCTTTTGTTATATATATTTTAAACATCATTGGTACTTGAAGATAACCAATTTGTTTTTATTTTTTTCTCAATTAAGCTTCGCTAATTAATAATCAACGAAAATTCCTCAAATATTCCGGAAATCATCTGGATTTTTTGGATTTTACAATCTTGCGCGTGCGCATTACATTCACGCTAAATCACGGTGTTCAAATCGGAGAAGACAAAAGTAATTTGTACTAAGTAGATATATATTTGTTATTTTATAATTTCTATAATAAGAAATCATAAATATGTATGAACGAAATATATAGCAAATTTCCAATGAAAATTTACACGTATTTGTATTAATGTTTCTGAGTTTATCCATGCAAATGTGATATTGTGGCCACGTGGGTAATCATTCGCCATCTCGGAGACACATTTATTATATGTTATTTATGTCTCTGACCATCTAAACGGAGGCAAAAAGCTCATGATCGTAGGAGCAATATTAATGTAACTACCCATTTTATTTTATCCTTCCTTTCTTTTATGCTTTTTTGAGGGGAGGGGGGTACATGTACAACTCCAGCTAGAATCAAATCTTAGTGAAGTAGGCATTCTTTTTCCGCCAAAAATTACAATAACATTATTTTCATTTCTTAACTTTGAAATAAATCGAAATAATTAAATAACGTCAATATAACCGATATTTTCAATTTGAAATGATTTAAATGATTGCAACTTGAATTTGTTCGCCATGTTTACTATTACCTCTCTGGTCAAATAGTTTTGGAAAAGAAAATTCATTAAAAAAATCCTATAAATACTCCCATGGATACCCCTCCCCTATTTTGGCCCCACCGTACCCCCAGGGGTCATGAAAGGTCATGATAAGATTTAAACAAAATTGAGAATGCTTCCACATAAGTTTCAACATTCCTGGCCAAAAGGTTCTTGAGAAGAAGATTTTTCAAGATTTTCCCTATATATTACTATGTAAAATTTCAACCCCCCATTGAGGCCCCACCCTACCCCTGGGGGTCATGATTTTAACAATTTAGAATCTACACTACCTGAGGATGCTTCCACATAAGTTTCAGCTTCCCTGGCCAAATGGTTCTTGAGGAGAATATTTTTAAAGATTTACCAAAAAATTTCAGTATTTCTTAATTATCTCCCCTTGAAAAAGGACATGGTCCCTCATTTTAACAATTTTAAATCCCCTTCACATAAGAATGCTTTGTGCCAAGTTTGGTTGAAATTGGCCCAGTGGTTTTGGAAAAGAAGTCGAAAATGTGAAAAGTTTACAGACAGACAGACGGACAGACTGACGACAGACAAAATATGATCAGAAAAGCTCACTTGAGCTTTCAGCTCAGGTGAGCTAAAAAGTAAAACACATTACATTTTTTGAATCATAAAAGATGAAAAAAACTTTCAAATTGGTTACTATTTATTTCGAATTTTCAGTAACTATAACAGGTTTAAACACAACTGAAGCAAACATACTGTTTCAAAAATCGAATCAAAATTATTCAAGAACCGAGGTTTTTTTTTCAAATCGATTCAAAATATTACTAATTCAAGGATATTACATTAATTTTTATCAAAAAAGACAGTCATGAGAGCATTTTCTTATATCATATATAAAGTCATTTGATATTCTTAATTTTTATTATGATCTCTTGAACAACCAGTGTTTTCTTTTTTTTTTTGGGGGGGGGGGTATTTGCAAGATAATCTGTTCTGCTTCACATCTGCTAAATTGTGTAAAAATACCAGTATAGCACATTTGTCCATTTTCATTTCTGTTTTTACAGATTATATACATGTCTATTACCTGTGTATATATAAAGTATATGTATTAGCAGTGCTTTATAAATCTTTTGTTGTTGAGGTCATATTTTGAACAAGTGCAGTCTTAAAATTGTTTCAATTTTTTTTTTACACTTTTAGCTTAATAACTGATTGTGTAAAAATACCAGCTTAGCACATTTCTTCATTTTCGTTACTTTGCTTGATATCAGCAGTGCTCAACTCTTTGTTGTTGTCATATTTTCAATAAATATCCATAATTTCTTTTATTAAATTTGTTTGGAAAGGCGAAATTTATGTAAACTTCGGCGTGATTCGAACTCATGACTTGATTTATAGCTAACTGGGGGGCCAAACCCATTCTGCGCTACGCCGTTACGCACCAATTTTGAAGGAAAAAAACAGAATTATATTCACATTCAGTGTTTATTTCAAAAGTACCTTACAATATGAATGTGTCGATGTATCTATTTTGTAAATGTCCGATATGCACATGGATGAATTCATAACAATGTCAACCCGTGCACGCACGGGTCAAAGTCTAGTATAAATAAAGAAGTTAGGTGAACAAGCCGAGCAAATTACCCATGACACGACAAATATATAAGTGAAAAATTAAATTAGATTATAACGATTTTTTTATATTTCGATTTACAATAACGTATACAAGTACTCTATGTAAACTTCCCACGATTTGCATCAATCTCACAAGTATTAAAATCATTCGTTTATGAAAATAGAATGCACGCACCAAAGAGGGCAAAAATAGTCATATATCTTCAGACTCATCTTCGCTAGCCAAGGGCTTCTGATACGCTACTCTCCTCATAAGCCCTTGGCATACGGTGTTAAAAAAAGTTGGGATTTTTTTCTCAAGTTGTGATTGGAGTTGATCGACATCGTTCGACCAATCAGCAATTGTTTTTTGTAAAATGACGATATTTGCGTTCGGGATATATCTTGACTCTTTAATATCGGTAATGTAAAACGCAAGTAAACAATGATCCGTAAGATAACATGCCATTCTATGAATAGCAATATGGTGTCATCCAATTTCTAAAGCAACGTGCAAAATATGTGATTAAGAATCTATACTGAAGATGTAGATTTTGCATGTTTACATGTTTAAATAACAAATTAACATAACTCAATACCTTCTTGTTAATTATTCTTTAAAAACAATTTTTTTTAAATACGCTTTTTATTTCTGTCGATGACGCAATCTGTGCGTACCTGGTAAGAATCATGATCACGTGACAAAAACAATCCCGTCTTTTGTCAGCACCGTATGCTAAGGGTTTATGAGGAGAGTAGCGTATCAGAAACCCTTGGTTCTGATCTGAAGATGCTTCAGACTATAATTCAATTTTTCCATATGAGTGGGTCTTCGCTCATTTTTTTTTTGAAAGCATTTCTTAAAAGTATGCGCAAAAATATACATTTTTCGATTAACATTAACATGGAGCAAGAACCCACTAGTCCTTCTAAGTACACTTTTATGCCACAATATTTGTATATTGTATATTTGTATATTTCCGTTAATAAGTCCGTTAATTCCAGGGTCATATCACAAACATGATTTAAATATCACGATCAGTAATGAGCTGTGTGGCAAAGTGGTCATCGAGTTAATCTCTATAAAAAATGATGATACTCAAGTTTTTTGTGGCATGGGTTCAACCCCCCCCCCCCCCCCCCCAAAAAAAACGCAATATTTTGTATACATTAATTTTTCCGAGAAAATTTTCTGCTGAAAAGTTTTGTGTTTCATAATTTCAAAACTTGGAACATTAAGAACTTTGCTCTGCATATTTAATTCTCAAATTAAATTTATTTTTATAAACTTGAATCTATTGGCATTTTGCACACTTTGTTCGCCCATGTCCTGTGTGAACCTTTCTTCCATTCGGTAAATGGGTGTTGTGCCGATTTTGGATGCAATACATGGGAAGGGATCAATATGCTAATGAGAATTTATTTAAGAATAATATGAACCACAGAGTTGTACTCAGTATAATTTGTTTTCTTTTAAATTCCAGGCATGTGTTTGGCGTGGTCATTTAATGTAAAAGATTCAAGAGGCAAAGACATTTGACATAACAAGAATCAATCTTAGAAATTATTCGTACATTTTAATCCCGAATTAGCTATTCTGTGTACAAAGTGCACGTCCATATCTGGGTTCAAAACGACATTTCAGATTGAGTTATTTCGGGATTGGATATTGAATGTACAATATATTTTTTTTTGCTCAATCAGTCAGGAAAATACTTCTTTTTTATCAATAGTCTTAATTTATTTTATACGTATTTAATTGTATTTTGTTGCATATAATTTTTTCACTTAAGAAAAGAAAACCATTTCTGCATATTTAATACAATGTACATTTTTCATTAACATAGGGCTTCAATACCTGACAATACTACTTGCTAATAAACATGTTTGTATGGAAAAATAATGTATTGCTCATTTGTTAATGATATTGGTCATAGACCACCGTCTGTCTATCAACCTGCATTTTTTAACGTAGTCCGCAGGCACCTGGGGGGGGGGGGGTTTACCCACCCACTTTTTTTTTCCAAACACAACCTATTAATGTTGGAAATGTTCACTGAAAGGCTGGTTGCCCCCCCCCCCCTTTTTTTTGCTGCAGTATAGACAAATCAGGGTACTTTGGTAATGTATGAATAAAATTTGGCAATGAAAAGAAGTTGGAAACAACCTACCCCCCTCCCCTCCCAAACGAAATAGGATTTTCTAGTTTGGACAATGCCCCCCTTTTTAAAAGTAAGTTGTCGTTTTTTTTTTCTGGCTACCCCCTTCCCCCCTTTTAAAAGCGATACTACGTGCAGTTGAAATTGCTCACAAAAACGTCATTGAATTCATAAATAACGTAAATATACCCATGTTATTTCTTCAAAGTTCATCATAGTTATTAGGGAAATTATCAAATCTCAGGAAAAGTGAATAAAAGCACCAATTATGCATTTTCTAGTGGAAAATTGATCAACAAGGACATTTTTGGATTAAAAAAATATAAGTATCCAGGCATTTGGAAAAAAAATTGTATGTTTTTATTACAATACTTATGCACTATTTTAATTCATCTTTTATCAAGGTACATAATTCTTTGTATTGCTTAGTTTTATATCAGTGAAATTTGATAAAGTTTGCAACACTTTCAGATACATGACCGACTTCAAAAAGGATGCTATCATTTTGGGGAAATACCGCAATACCATTGAACCTGCGATATAATGAGAATTGAGTATAAATGTTTAAATGAAGTACATGTACGTTGGCACTATAAAGATCCCTGCTCAATGACCCTGAGTGCAAAGTAAAGGTTAATTTTAAATCCTTCATCGGCATATGGTGACGTCTCCTATGATTTTCCAGGGGACGTAAATAAACAATCGAACAATCTGCAGCAGAGACCGTGAAATACTCTAAATACGTAATCTCAAATTAGAGTTAAAGTTTTACTTTACCCAGCCTGGTTGTTCATGACCTTGACATTCAAATGCATTCCAAGATACTCAAGTATTGCTGCTCAGATATACATGTATTCTGTTAAGGAGGGATTCTTCTCTTGAGAACACTTATTTCTTATATTTAAAAATCAATGAAATTTTCACAGAATCAAGAAGACAATATCACTAAGTGATGGTATCAGTTAGATTAAATTTGACCGTTTTATATTAGAGGCAAGGTCAGGTCAAGGTCAGTACCTTTTCCCTGGACATTAAGAATAAAAAATTACTGTTGCCAATCATGTGATGCCTACTTCCATTTCAATAAATTAAATGTTTTTCTTTTTGCATAAAGAGATATTACCATATAGGGTCTATAAGATGACATTACCAAATTGACATAAATAATTTTAACTAAAATGGATATTGGCTAATCCGAATTTTCTCTATTTTTCTTAAAATTTTAAGATATTTTAGTTATTTTTATATGCTTCCTATATTTAAATTTTTCTTATTTTCACATATGGTAAAGTTGTCACATAAAGATACAAAATGATATAAGAACAAAAAGTTTTGACCGTTTACTAAGAGAGAAAAAACACTTTTTACGGATTTTTGGCTCAAATCTGAACTTAGATTGGAAGCTTTTAAAAGCTAACATAATTGAAATTTGTTTGGAAAATCATATTTATTTCATATTATTTCAAAACTTAAGTCCCTTATTATTAATTTAACTTACATTTAAAATTTTTCTCCAAGTCTTTGATTGTGTAAATATTATAACTAAATTCATTGTTCTATAATCATTTTGAGAGGCAGAAAAGAAAATATTTTCATACGCCGCCATTCCGCCAAAAATATAGTCCCTGCTAGATTTCAAATCAGTTTACCATTTCTATTTAAAGTTGTACAATTGTGATGAGGAAAGAAAAATATGATCTTTTAAATCTCTTACATCTAAATATATAAAATATATAAGCAAATATACTTTGAATATTTCATCTAGTCAGAAACCAGACAAGAATCCCTCCTTAAAAGAAATCGATATTTCAAACAGGCAGTGTTAAGTGCAGTGATCTATTTGGACAGTCCGATCATGGCAGCCAAAATATGTTGTCCCAATCATCATATTATTCGTTTTGAAAAGCAACGTGTAATTTAGCTTCTGTACTACTCACTTCTGTGGTACTGTTAAGATCTTGAAATTTTTGTAGTGTTTTTGCTCTGCTGTGTCTTAACTGAAATCAACACTAGTGAGTACTTTTCTTTCAATATTTATTCATGCAGTTTTACAGCTACATTTTGATTCATTGATTTCAAATTTAGGTACATGTAAGCAGTAACGGTGCAAATAAGTTTCATACTCAGCAATCAAATAAAAACGCAATCAACAATGACACACAATTCCCTTTCTTCGGCCTCTGTACACATCCTTGAACTAATCATATTTCATGATAAAAATGCCATTTTCCTAAAATTTCAAAATGTCCCTATTAAAAAACTCAATAACAAAACAATGCATAAAACATTAATTCGTCAAATTGGTAGATTCTAACTAGGTCTGATATTAATATTAGTCAAAAACTTGTAGTATTCACTGACGTCACAGAAGAGCATGTAATCCTTGATATACTTAGGAAGATTAAGTTTTTGCAATGCAGTATACAGATTGACTGTAAAACATCTCCTGATGACGTCACGACAGCATGCTTGAAGAGTTTTTGGTTGTGTTTCTGTGAATAAATCAGTGAGATCTATCAAATTGTCCATTTGTCGAATCAAAGAAGACTGCCTTTTCATGATACTTATTTCCTTTTTCTTGTTTACTCCACAATGTAGGAGAACCTCTGTCAATCGAGTATTATTTTTCTGAACAGCTTTCTGCAGACATGATACGCCAAACGGATTCGATAAATTGGGATCCGCCCCAGAAATAAGCAATAACTCGGCGATTTCAGTTTTGCCTAAAACAATAGCTCTGTACAAAGGAGTTTCCAACGTTCCGAAGCACTGATAGTTTAAGTTACAGTTCTTGGCAAGAAAGGCTTTAAAAACCTCCAAGAAATCCTCAAAGTTGTCAAATACTGTCACAGCAATGTGTAAAGGTGTGAGGCCACTGTATTGTTTCCTAGCATTTACATCGTATCCTGCAACAAAACAAAACAATAATTAAAAGTTGAGCAAAAAGCTCTGATGTCTAAAAGAGTCTTTCTTAATATTGAACTGAAAACTAAATTTGTAAGTATATAACTGAATATCGAAAGTTCAATGTTTCATGATATTTATGCCCCCGGATCGAAAGATCCCGGGGGTATATTGTTTTTGTCCTGTCTGTCTGTTTGTCCGTTTGTCTGTCTGTCTGTTGTCAACTTTAACCTTGCCCATAACTTTTGATTGGTTGGAGCTATGACTTTCATATTTCACATGTGTATTCCTTTTGACAAGACCTTTCTTTGGGTACCATCATATTTGACCTTTTGACCTTGACCTTGGAGTTTGACCTACTTTTGAAAAACTTTAACCTTGGCCATAACTTTTCAATGGTTGGAGCTAGGGCTTTCATACTTTATATATGTAGTCCTTGTGAAAAGACCTTCCTTTGGACACCAACCACTATGACCCTTTGACCTTGACCTTGGAGTTTGACCTACTTTTGAAAAACTTTAACCTTGGCCATAACTTTTCAATGGTTGGAGCTAGGGCTTTCATACTTCCCATATGTAATCCTTGTGACAAAACCTTTTTTTGGATACCAACCACTTTGACCTTGACCTAGGAGTTTGACCTACTTTTGAAAAACTTTAACCTTGTCCAAAACTTTTGAATGGTTGGTGCTAGGGCTTTCATACTTCACATATGTAATCCTTGTGACAAGACCTTTTTTGGATACCAACCAATTTGACCTTTTGACCTTGACCTAGGAGTTTGACCTACTATTGAAAACATTAACCTTGGCCATAACTTTTGAATGGTTGATTAGGGATTTGTTACTTCACATATGTAATCCTTGTGACATAACCTTCCTTTGGATACCAACCACTTTGACCCTTTGACCTTGACATAGGAGTTTGACCTTTTTTTGAAAAACTTTAACCTTGGCCATAACTTTTGAATGGTTGGTGCTAGGGCTTTCATACTTCACATATGTAATCCTTGTGACAAGACCTTCCTTTGGATACCAACCACTTTGACCTTGAAGTTTTACTTACTTTTAAAAAACTTTAACCTTTGCCCTAACTTTTGAACAGTTGCAGCTAGGTCTTTCAAATTTCACAGGTATATTCCTCAAGACAAGACCATTCTTTGGGTACCAACATTTTTTTATCTTTTGGCCTGGATTTTGACTTGCATTTGAGAAACTTTGACCTTCGCCATAACCTGCCATACGGGGGCATCAGTGTTTCACAAACACATTTTGTTTTACCTGCATTTAGTAATGCTTTCACGACTGTTAAGTTTTTCTGTTTCACTGCATAATGGAGTGGTGTGTTCCCCTTCCGGTCGACCTGATTGGATACTTGTCTCCCTTCTCTTATCAAGCACAAGGCAGTGTTTGTGAAATTATTCTGGGCGGCCAACAGCAACAAAGTCATATCTGTAATGCAAAATGTAGAGTTTTGGTGTTAATTAGCAGTCAATACCGCGTATTATACAGGTGACAACATTATGATGTACATGGTTGTTTGGGTGCTGCATGAACATTTTATTGCATTGGGAAGTTAAATTTTCTAAGAACGACACTCTTGGCCAAGAATTAGGATTTTCCACACAGTAATATTTCTACAAATGGTAAACTTTTTCATAGGACACCATAGCTTCTGTGTGTTTGTTAAGTCTTCATAAACAAGACACAGATCTTTTTTTCAAACTTAAATCATTGTCTTGATAAGTATGTGATATCCCCATTCATTGCAAGGCCGGGGGGGGGGGGGGGGGGTGTTTAATTTTGCCAATATATATCATATAATAGGAAACAAAGCTAGTTTACGGCTGTGCCCCCTCAATAATAGCCCCTTGTTTTGCTTCACAAAGAATTTTTGTTAGGTTGTCCCCCAAAACTGAATTCTACAGTTAAATTGCATCCCCTGCCCCAAGCAAAATTGTTCCCTACAGGTCTGTGCAGCTGTTAATTGTTATTCAAAATGATATACATGTAAATTAAACCATTCACTTTGACCTTGACTTTTATTGAATGAAGACATTTATTTCTTTACAACATTCTAGCTAATGAAGAATATTGATGGTAAGACAATATAAAGTCTCTAGTTTTTGATGGTGAGAATGTAACATGTGGTGAAAGTACTAATTTTTAGACCTATATGTGCTTCAATGAAAATAATTATTGGGTCACATAATAAGCAATGATTATGCCAATTAAGATTTACTTTTATCAAATAATTTAAAATATAGGTTTCTGTTAATTTTCAACTAAGTTTTGTTCAATAGGAGATTTTTTTTTGAGGAAGTAACATACTTTTCACAGTAACCTTTATGTTGAAAATACGGCATCCCGCAAGATCAATTGATCAGGGGATTATGAAGAGTTTTTAATGTGCATAATTGCTAAAAAAGAGCTGTATACCCTATTCTGCAGCTTTCAGTAATTTCAACGGTTTCTGTCTGTAATTTGAGCTTTTCATCCATCATCTGTTGTCTTAATTTTCTAGAAAAATGACTGTATAATTGATAACCTTAGACATGTTAGACGAGAATTTTTTTACTGTGTTGTTAATATCCTTTGTGTCAGCATGTATCATGCATAAATGGCAATCGATCTGAAAACAAGTATGATTAAGGTTTTTAACTGAATTCCTATAATTGCTCAAGTATTATATGACATTAAAAGAATTGAAATTCAGGGCATATCCCAGAGGCATAAAGCTCCGAAGCCAATCCGTAATCCGTATTTCAATATAAAAATCTGGGATAAATAGGGAATTTCTGTCATTATGATAGTAAATTAAAAAGCTCGGCAAGAGATGTTGATTTGAACAAATCTACCTGAACATATACTGAGGATGCTTGCATATTTTGTATCATTAGTCCACTAACGACCCTGTTTTCATGAGGAGAAGATTTTTACAGATTTTTTAACATATACATGTATTCCCATGTAAAATTTTGATCCCCTAATGTGGCCCCACCCTACCCCTAAGGATCATGATTTGAACTTTTTTTTTAAAATGCACTATTTGAGGAAGCTTGCATATATTTAATTTATAATAATAAAATATCAAATTATGGTCTGCTGTTCTTGAGAAGAATTTTTTACATTTTTCTATGTATCCCCAGAATGTAAAGCTTTGACCATCATTCAGTTGATGGTTTGAACAGAATTTGAATCTGCACTACCTAAGGATAATATTTATATCACTAAATCATGGCTGTGGAAGATTTTGAAAGATTTTTAACAAATTTCCATGTAGAACTTTAATCCCCTATTGTGACCCCCCTCCCCCCCCGAGGCCATATGCATGGCTTCTGAATCAACAAAATAATATGAATCTGCACTACCTAAGGAAGCTAGTATATATATATATAACAATAATCATGACCCAAACTGTTCTTGAAAAGAAGATTTTTAAAGATTTTTTAACAAATTATATTCCCCTGTAAAACTTTGATCACCCTTTATGGCCCAATGCTCCCTACCCCCAGGGGTCATGACTTGGACAAAGTTGAATCTGCACTACCCATGGATCCTTGTATATTAATATCACTAATCATGGACTTGCTGTTTTATGAGGAAGACTTGTAAACAAATTTTCTTACATATTTCCATGTAAAGGATTGATCCCTATCGTGGCCCCACCCTCTCCAAGAGGCCATCAATTTAAACAATCTTGAATCAACACCATGTCAGAAAGCTTTCATATAATTTTCATCTTGCCTGCTCCAGTGGTTCTTGGGAAGATTTTTAAATGACCACATCAAATTTTCACTATTTCTTAATTACATTTGTATATCTCCCCTTGAAAAAATAGCATCATGACCTTTAGCACAAATTTTTAAGTCCCCTTCAACCAATGATGCTTTGTGGCAAGTTTGGTTGAAATTGGCTGCATGTTTCTGGAGAAGAAGTCGAAAATGTGAAAAATTTACAGATGGCACATGCCAGATAGGTGGACAGATACCAAAGCGACCAGAAACTATTTGATCAGAAATACAAACTTGAGCTTTTGGCTCAAGTGAGCTAAAAAATGATGCAGATATGATAACCATAAATATACACCCATAAATACACACCCTTAGACTGAACATTAGATATTAAGATATGCTTACTTCATATTAAATATTACTCTATTAGATATTAATATAATAGGCTTACTTTATCCGTGAATATAAGCATTATTGCAGTTATGCAGTAGGCTACATGTATATATTTTAAAATATTTTTTAGGAAATCATAAATCTTTAGATCTGAGTACTAGTTGTTAAATTATTTGAATGCAGCACATATTTATTTCAAAAGTGCTTTCAAAGTAAATGCAGTTTGTAAATGTAATTTAATTATAGTAAATATATCATTACATTTTAGAAATTATTATACAAGCATTGAACTTTATTGTCTGACGTCATGGCGTCAGACAGTATTAGATTTAGCCAAGGCTTGTTGGTCAAGTCGTTCAATAGAATTCTTGTGATAACTTGATCTTGGAAACTTCATACTCAGTTGGAGAGCATGGGGAGTACAGAAAACAATCATGCTAAACAGCCAAACAAACCAGAGTACTGGACCTATTTATTATCACATTATACATTACAGGTTACATAACATTTGGCCATTCTGGAATGCATATCATTTATGTCCAGCAAAACAGCAGGAATGAAGCTGATCAGGTCAACACTTGTCTATTATCTTTATCAGATTAACTAAATGGATGTTTATTTTCAATACATACTAAGACTCTCTACCTTTAGAATTTTTATAAATCTACACATATTCATAACCTGCAGATGTTTGATTTCCGCCCCTCGTGAATTAAAAATTGTGAGTGTATTTACCAATAACTAGTTGTCGCCCGCATGGCGCAGTGGTTAGAGTGTCTGCTCTAGAGTCGCGGCGTAAGGAGTTGATCCTTACGTCGCGGGTTCGAATCCCACTGTGGGACGTGGAGATCGGTCTTTCGGATGAGACCGCATAAACCGAGGTCCCGTGTCGCAGTAGGTGCTGGCACGAAAAAGATCCCTCACTGCTCAATGGCCGTAAGTGCCGAGTATAGGACAAAATTTGCAGCTCTCCACCGGCAAGTGGTGGCGTCTCCATATGAGTGAAAAATTCTCGAGAGGGACGTTAAACAACATACAAACAAACAAACAAACAAACAAACCAATAACTAGTTAATATCTATAATGTAACTATAACATAGTTCAAAAATTATCAAAGTGAAGGATAGATGTTGAATATTCTTTTGCTTAAAGACAGATGATACAAACAATTTTTATTGAATATCTTGAAAATAACAACTAAAGCCATGTTTCTAAAGTAAAATGAATAAATTTAACCGCATAGTTTTTAATTTTTCATTCGAAATTTCACATTAATAAGATTTAAAGTGACAAAAATTGTATAGATTAATAAGGATGGTTGAAGACAGGTAGAATTTTGAACACCATAGAAAGTTTACAATTTCTTAATAATTTAGAAATTTATTATTTGCATCATTTGCGATCAAAATAGGTCCAAAAATATACACCTATCCAGACATCCACTTCTTGTTTGTATCATTTGTCCTTAAATGCAAAGATGTTAGCTACGTTCATTTCTTTAAATAAGACATTTCTTAACTATCAAAATTGTTCACCAATTGATTTTTATATGTTGCAACTTTTTCTTTCAAAAAGACTGGTTTTGTATCCAATGAACAGACCCGTTGGAAGAAATTTCAGAAATTTGCAGTTTAGGGTGGACATTATCAAGGAAAAATTCCTTATAGAGCATACAAAAGTTATCAAAAGTTAATATTTACATGATTTAGGTGACACAATCATAAAATAGCTATGTATATAAATCGACAAAATTATTGCCCCCCCCCCCCCCCCCGGTTCCTACGTCTAAGAAAAAAGAAATTACAAGTAATATAATGTACACAGAGTAAATTCATGACAAGTTTTATTTGATGTTGATGCCACTGAATTGAATTTTTTTTTGTTTCTTAGCAAAAGAAATCATTTCATGACTAAGACTCATGTTGATTACACTGTATTTAACATTTCTTGATTCTCCACGTAAAAATAAATTTGCTCAAGTCAGACAAGCTTTTTAGGAAAGCTAATACTTGTACTATTCTTTGATTAAGTTTACAATGATTACTGTACCTGCATTGGGTCACCTCCTTCCATGATGTTTACATCACATTTGTAGGAAATTGACAGTGAAAGAAGAGATATTTGAGATAATTCGTACATAAAAATGTCGATTTCAAAAGTGTCCAGGATATATTTTGCATCCAAAAATATTTTCAGTGCCGTTTATAAGATATATATTAAAATTATGTTTAAACAAGTCATCTGAAAACAATAAAAATAATAATAAAAAAAAATAAATGAATAAATACAAGACTATATGACAGGAATATAGTATACATGTATAAGATGGATGTTATAAATTAATAAATAGATAAATAAATGAATAAATAAATAAATAAATAAATACAAGATTATTTGGAAGGAATATAGTATATAAGATGGATGTTAGAATATTGTGTTAAACGACTGCTTCAGTGAGAAGCAATATGAACACCAACGATACTGCATGTAATTCAGAAGTGATTAAAGAAATAGTTAGATGACATGATCAATATACACATATATACATGTAGCTGGTTCCAACTGACAACCAGGTAACAACGTCGTCTGCTCATTATTACAATTTTTTTTATAGTATTAGAGGAACTTATATTCAATTCTACAAGTTATAATCCATCTTATACTAAGAAATATAGATTCTTCAAAATCACATGTCAGTTTTAAATACATTTAAATAACTTATTTGGGAATTTAAAAAGAAAATTGAATAATATAATGACAGCTAGGTCTGTCATCTCACATCTCGTGTGGCAAATCTAAACATTTTACATACAAGATTTATATACATGTCAGATAAAAACGAATCCAAATCGCTGTTCTTGTGGAAATAAAGAGGATGTCATAAAAAATATATTTTTTGTGTGTGTAGAAATTATTTTGATGCTAGACGTTTAATTAAGGGTGAATGCACTACTTGTAAGAAACTAATCCTAAAACACATTTTTAAGCCGAGTTACAAAGGGCACAGTATTATCGACATTATTGAAATTGCTAAATCTACTGACATGTAGTTATATTTTTTGTTTTCGTAATTTTCGTTTTTTTCTCCTATACATGTATCAATTTTTTCTTCCTATCTTTATCCAACAGGGAAGTTTCTTTTGTTCTTATGTTTTTTGTTTTGTATTGTTTGTTTGTTTGTTTTGTATTTTTTTTTGGGGGGGGGGGTGCTTTTTTGGAGAAGGGCAAGGAAAACGTACGAGGTGATCAAAAAGTTCGCGAACTATCTAGATATATTTAAAAAACCACAATTCAGATCAGAATGAAATTTGGCACACATAGTCATACACATGTTCTATAAATAGCAGATGTTAAATAATGTTTTGCTCCGTGTTTGTGACGTCACCATGTGAAATGACGTCAGTATGTAGGTCACTTGTGACAAAAAATGGTTGACTCAATCGTATTCGAGCAACGAACGACTGTAAAGTTTAACGTATATCTCGGAAATTCCTTTGCAGTGGAATATGATAATTTGTACAAGATCTGTGAAGACTAAAGACTTACCAGAAGTTCAATCATTAATTGGATTGAACTTTTTAGTGAAGGCAGGGAGATGGTTTAAAATGATGTTTGTTCTCTTGCCCAGCGAAAGCAAGCCGGTGAAAAGATGTGTCCTTAGTTGAGCAATTTGTTTTGAAAGATCGCCAAGTTACAGTAAGAAAAATAGTTGAATATCTGAGCAATAATATAATTATTAAATCCCTAAAATATCGTTTACTTTAGACCTTAAACATATGAGATATGAAAAAAAGAAGGCGCCTATACTTTTTCCACATTGGATAAACGACGCTCCCGAGACAATGAACTCGGGTTGTGATGGTCACCATGCTAATTCTAGGAAGGGATATCCTTATCCACCCATTCTATTGCCGAGATTTGACCATTTCTGACAGATGGTCTGTTCTTGTTGTTAAAAATTACTTGCATGGTAAGAAATATAAGACTCGGAAATGTGAACAGACCGCTACGAAGTATGTCACGTGACCGCCTGGATCACGTACGTGATTCGCGCATGGGCAGAACAATGGCAGATGCGCATTAAAATCGGAGAGGACTACTTTAAAAAATAATGAACACTGAAACCTCATTTCATTTCTTTGAAGCAAGTAATTCAATTACTTCGCGAACTTTTTGATCACCCCTCGTACGTACACGTTTAAAATTTTGATTTAAGAATGATCGTGCATGCATCTGATTATATAACACGAATAATCGCGTCCCCTTCTCTTTCTCTCTATAGTCCAGATAAAATTCATCTGGTCATGTCATTTAAAAGTTTAAAGTTAGATAATAATATGTTTTACGGTGTGACCGTTGGGGGCGAGCGCAGTTGTACCATCAAACACCTATACACAGTTTACACTTCTAACGTTGATGGATCCGCCTCTTCAAACGTCAAACCGCACGAGACACAGTCAAGACTGTGACGTCACATGACGTCGGAATTTACGGAGACAGCCGAGCGTCTGGTTGAACGAGACTAAAGATCTTGTGCAATAATAAATGAAATACGTTGTAGAGTGGATGTAATTATTTTTTATTTCTTTTAAGCCCTCTGCAAAGAAAGAAAAGTAAACGTATCTCTCGGTAATGAATAATTATCCTTGGTCTTTTGAATGTTTGTAAGAATTTCGCATGGAACCCTGGTAGCGAAGGAATTCTGTGAATGTTGCCCCAGAAAATTTCCCTGACGTATGTACAGATTTCATTCCGAATTTCCTCTGTTCTTACACGTTAGTCTATTGAGCTCGCTTCGCGAGCGGCGCTTCGCGCCGCTCGCTGCGCTCGCTATTACTATGTTGTAACAAAATACTAAAATGAACCGAAAATGCACTTGATACTGCAGATAATGTTTTGATGCTTAATGAGTAGTTAATTGGATCCTGGGGGTTTATCTAATTAAAAGTATTTTATAATACTCATGAAGGACAATTTTTACTTATAGGTGTATATAGAATTTCCGCTTAACTGAAGAAGAAAAAACATAGTACAATGATAATGACAGGGATTTATCAGCCTATTTTGGGAAATGCCATTTCTGGGGAATTGGGAAAAAATTATCGGCTTTTTGATGAAATTGGGAAAAATTTAAAATGTTGCTTAAATTATGTATTCAGGTGTAATTCATTTAACATTTCAGCATGAACTCTAATTTGGGCAATTTTTTAACCAAACAAACAATTAAATATGATCCAACTTCAAACAAGATCAATTACGAATAACAGACTGATAAAAGTAAAATTGACTTTTAATCAATGAGTATAAAGTGTTTATACAACTTAGGGTAGTATACATATGTGTATGAGATCTAATATAGGTCATTACAGAATCTGTTTCTGGAGATTATAAACCTCCTGCAAAAATTATACTAAGTACACATTTTCTCAAAGTCCTCTTTTAATATATATTAATGCATTGAAAATATATTTTTTTCTATTGGAAATAATGCCTACAGTCCTTACCATTCACTTGTAGATCAATTGAGTAGGTAGAAATAACTTAATAAATCTATATAATTGCACAATATCACCATTTTCAGAAAAACGGAGGAAATTCGGATTAAAAGTTGGCGATGTTTTTACAGTGTTTTGACTGTAGCTTTGCAAAATGAGTTAAATAGATTAAAATTACAGATAATCTGACAATTTTACTTTCTGTTTTTCCAAGATAATTAAAAATAAAAGCATCGTTCATCAATTGGGAAAAAATACTGCCAAATTGGGAAAAACTGAACTCATTTTCAATTGGGAATGGGGCCGAATTTCGGCCCCTGAGAAGGTACTGATAAATCCCTGAATGATCTCTATTTGTGGAAACAAATATGCATGCAACTGTTGATTTTGATTACATGAAGACAAACACTTCACGAAATATTTACACTTTAAAAACATTGGAAGAGCGATTTTTGAAATGTTATTGTTTTGATTTGTTTACAATAATTTAGTTATTTTGTAATCATATTTGAAATAAAAATTTATACTGAAATAATTATAAATAAGATTAAAACACAAACATTTTATTAATAGATCTTACCTCGGAGGCTTCTGTTTAGATGAAAATTATATAGAATGAAAAACAGGAAGTCCGTCGGATATGTCCACTACATGTAAACACCCATGCGCATTCTTGCAAACAAGCAAAAAACAAAAACAAACAAAAAACAAATAAACAAAAAAACAAACAAACAAACAAAAAAACCAACAAACAAACAAAAACAAACAAACTAAAAAACCCCCAACATATTAAGGAGCTGAATCAAGATTAACTTTCACGCTCGTGTGAACTAAGTATCTGCATGCCCTATGATTTTCCACTTACACCAAAACAAAACATATACATAAAACATATTTCTTGCGACAATCAAAATAAAAAAAAAAATGAGCCAGTGAATGTCTGATTTTAATCAGACTGCTTACCTTAGAGACAGCAATTTTATTTCATATAAACGTATTTTTTAGGTGAAGTTACAATTATTGAAAAAAATATCTCCCTACAAACAAGTTTTTTAAGAGTTAATACCCAAACTGCCTATTAGGTGGGAATGTTTAAATTAATTTAATGATGTTCTGCGTTGAGCACAATACCAAAAAAATTATGTTTTGTGTTGTTACATTTTTATTTTATAACATTTTGCGTTGCCCTCAACGCAAAAATTATACATAAATAACGCAAAATGTAATACATGTACAGTCATTCTACAAAAACATGACCAATTAAGAATTTTTTATGTCGCTTGCAAATTTACCGTTGTAATATCTTAGCTATAAATTTTAAGGCCGATTTCAACTTTAAGACTTAACATACACATATGGTTTTGTAAATATTCACCGATATATATGCAGTTAAAGTTTTGTTATGAACATAATGTAATGTTGAAAAACGTATTCCACTGCAAATCTTAATGTCGCTTCATTTATATACAAATTTCAAGATGAAATTTTCAGTAGTAAAATCGCTCCGAATAGATTGCAATGAATGTTAAAAAATGTCTTTTATTCTGTATAAAAAGAAATCAAACCACTTCTCGCAAAGCAATGCATAGATCTCCTTTCATGCGAATTCATATGCATGTCGCTTAAAATCGATTAACTTCCGCAACGATTTTGTTTTAGATTTCACGCATAGAATGCAGATTTCAAAAAGAACTGAAACTTATCTGAAAGTGGCCACGGAACCTTATATCATCGATTCTAGTTGAGAGGCAGCTATTTTAGACGATTACATTTTCGACATAACAAAATGAATTGGACAGAAACAGTTGTCTCTCTTAAAAATTTAACTTCCGTAACGGTAATTCAGGAAAGTTTTTGCAATAAAGGTATAATTTTTTTTTTATTATTTTGAGAGCGAAATCCTTCATACTTTTGTTTAATATCCTAAACCAAACTTTGATTTTAACTATTGAAGAGAATTTTAACTTTTATTGCTGGGAATTAACTTCCGTAACGATATTTTTCCCGAAAAATTAATTTAAATTCGGATTAATACAAGACTTCATGAATCATACTTTAGCGTTCTTTACTGAACAACAGAAACAAAAAATTGGTTAAATTCAGCTTTATTTAATTAATAAGGCTTGATCAAGCATTTAACTTCCGTAACATTACCTTAAAATTAATGGTATCTTGAAATTGAATAATAAAAAATTAATACATTATTACATTCTGAGTTAATCTCGACGTTAAATGTAATAACGCAAAATGTAACAATCCTAAAAAGTATGTTATTACATTTTGCGTTATTGCGTTGATTTCGACGCATAATGTAATAACGAAAAGTATTAATCCCAGTTTATTACATTTTGCGTTGTAGCACCCCCATTCTACATTAGGAAACATGGATCCCTCGTAAGTTGATGAGAATATATATAATATGTATTTCTTAATTTCTCTCTCTCTCTCGCTTTTTTTTTTTGTTTTTGTTTTTGTTTTGTTTTTTTTGCATGGAACATCTCCTTCCCCGGATCCGCCTAGTTGAGAGACACAAACAATAAATTCATTAATGTTAAACTGCAAAGATACCCTCTCTCTCTATCTTTCCCTCAGATCAGCAAAGTTTATAATAATATACAAAATTTTATTTACACTGTATCTATGCCGTACGTAATGGAGCAATATTTCACGACAGAAAGATACGAATCAATTTACGATCGAGTTGATATGAAATCTGTCCTTTCTTCCGGTCCTCCTTGGCGAGTACACAAGATTTGTTTACTTGTGGCCAAAAAATCGTAGATCATCGCCAAAATGATTGTATTCCAGGACTTGATCACAGGTAGAAAATTCTTGCCATTTACTATTTTGTCCATTAAGAATCTATATGTTATCCCCATACCGTAATTACAAAGCAAATCAGCTTAAAATGATTTACCGGTTGCGAAGAAAAATTTCAACTGTCAAAACTCCACATATTTTCTGTTCCATAGTTATGGGATGTTAACTTTTATTCTTTATGTAATTTTTTACAGTTAAACCACGTTATTATTTCGATTGTTCGTTAGATGAGACTTTAATTAACGATATGGAATGTCGAGAAAACGAACCGATTTTGTCTGTAAATGAGTCATAAACTCGTAATATTTTGAGCAAGTAGGATTGACGGACAAAGATTATTCAATTATGCAGTAGCTTATCAAAGTTACTAATGAGAGTCCAATTAAAAAAAGTATCTCTTTCTTGATAACTCAGAGACAAGTTATTTGATATTTACATAATATGTATCTACATCAGTCATACTGCTAGTATCAGCCTATCCCATTTTAAAGTTTGTAACTTTAATCAGCGGTGTGTTGTTACCATGACCAGACATGCGGGGCTACCAATCTTCATTAGAGTAAGGGCAAATCAAAAAATAATGCTGTGTTAGCCCATTGGGCAAGCAAATCAAAAACTGTCTCAAAGTTACAACCGAATTTACATAAAGGATTTAACTTGTTACCAAATCAAAATCATCAGTCTATTTTAACAATAGTTAGTTCAGTGACAAACAACAGGGTTGCAAATAACATTTTAAACTTACAAGACGTGTGGGCCCCCAACTTTAAAGTTACTAGCCCACATTGATATCTTGGGGCCCACTATTAACTGTTCACTTGTTAAAAAAATATCATTTCTTATGATAATCTCAAATACATTCCTGTCCACAGTCTTTCATTTCTTTTTTCATGGGGATTTCGAAACCAGTTGTATGGAATTCCATGTTTTCATTCACTTCAAGATATGTATTTTGAATTAAATGTTTCTAGTGAAAAATTACAGAAAGTGTTCTTTACCAACAGAAAGCATTATTTTACCAACTTTCAAAGTTCAAAATGTGAAATATTTTTATCCACGATAGCAGCAAAAAATCGGGCTCAAGTGAGCTTTTTTGATCAAAGAGTGTCCTGCATCCGTCTGTAGTCACTTCTCCTCAAGAACCACTGAGCCAATTTCAACCAAACTTGCAACAAAGCATCCTTGGGTAAAGGGGATTTAAGTTCACAGGAAGTGCCACACCCTCTTTCAAGGTTAGATAATTAAGAACTAGGGCTGAGTATGGGCTCCGAATTTCGTATTGCGAGATATTGCAATATTTTAAACCGTATTGCAATATGTATTACAATATTATCAATAACAGTTAAAATGCGCTTTCCTTATTTTATTTACATCCATTTATAAGGCCAAACAAAAAAATATGTTTGTTTACTGTTACATGCTGAAAAAAAAATAGGGTCGGTAGGTAGGATTTTTTTTTTTATTTTATTGAATTTTTTTATTTACAAATTCACATGAATTGGTTGAAATACAAAACAGTTTTACTATTGTGTGATGCTTTACTTTTGTTTGGGCTTGCCATAGGGGCGATAGACAATATCTTTCTTGTCAACTGCCTTACAGCTACCACACAGTGGTAAAACTGTTTTGTATTTCTTCTTTAATTCCATGTTGCACTGACTAATCAATTTAGCATTTTCCCCAGACAAAATTTAATGCATGGGGGGAATTTTGCTGAATTGATGACGTGCAGCATGTCTTAGTTGAGTTACTTGTACATGTATCTGAATCTATATATAAGTGAAAATTACAAATGCAATACCAGTATTCATTTACATATTTTTTTTTGAATTTAAATGATAAATACATTTTAAATAAATTGTCAATTTAACTTTAAAAAAATAAAAATTGATTTCTTTTTTTATAAAAATAGATCTAATCATCTTTGGGGTGGGGGGGGGGGGGGTGTCACCGTGTGGGTATTTTTATTGTCCTCTAATTAGCCACTGTCTTTTTATGTGCTGTTTTATTCTTGTTGTCTACAAACTGAATAGGCCCTATAGTGACCCCCTTTTTTAAATTTACTTCATTTTTGGCTGTCCCTACTTTTACAGCCATCTTTAAACAAAAAAGGGTGCACACTTTGTAGCACTGATGACAACATGTTTGTTTTTCAACGTAAGCTGTTGAATGTAGGTCATTGTGTATAAAAGCATGTGCGCTTGACTGAAGTACTAGCCCATAGTTCATAGAGTAAATAAACAATGATAATGTTTATAGGACATGTTTATTTTAAGCATATATTTATGCTAAATATGGTTTAAGAATTATGTTTTAACTAATGAATCCTTTTTGATGTCGGAACATAAATGCTATTTATAGAATGACCTGGAAATGTTGGAAAAACCCACATGTGCAATATAACAAGTGTATTACTTTCATGGTGTATACTATCTTACAGCAATTAATTAATTTTTCATGGTTATAAATATTTTAATGAAATAAAAACTTAATATTAAATAACATACCAGTAAATTGCAATAAACATAAATTGACAGCTATTGCATCATACCCTGTACCATGATTTGCATCGAGTTCACCACAGGTACGCAACATGTTTGTAGGATTCTAGTGATCTGAATTGTTTTATTAATAGATTAATAACTGATAACATTCAAAGTAAATCATCTTCTTAAAAAAAAATGTATACCATTAATAATTCATGTATAGCGGGAAGCATAGCGGCAATGTTTGATGCATGGCGAGAGATCTTGAATGCATGGCGGTATCGCCATGTAAAAACGGCCTGGGGAAAAAATTATGATAATTTAATCGAAAGTACTAGAAATAGTCTATTTCTAGTACTTTCGATTTCAAACCGTTGACCGATTAAGATGCATGTAAAAGTTTAACTGACCGGTGAGTGACTTCTGGATTTTTACGACGAAAAAAAAATTTGGGTCGGCGATTAAATATAGGGTCGGTCGGGTAACCGTAAACAAACATATTTTTTTGTTACGCCTAAGCAGAGTATCTGTCACTATTATTTTTATTTACATCCATTTATAAGCAGAGTATCTATCACTATTACAGTGAAACCTGTCTTATCCGACATGCTGCGGGAAATAAAATCAATGTCGGATTAGACAGTGTGTCGGATTACCCAGTGTTGAATATTTCTGCGCGTTATGATTGGTGTCAAATGACTTCAAAAACCATTTTTCATTAGGTTTAGAGTACACGTGTATTTAATTGTCAAAATGTTTGCATAATTTTGTCTTTCTTTGTTGTATAAAATATACCTTTGTTAATTAGCATTCCTTTGAGCATTAGTAAACTCAGTAGTAATATACGATGTTTGTTTTTTTAATGGACAAAACAGATAGAATTGCTGATCGCTTCGAGATGTTGCAATCTAATTTTTAGCATTTTACTAAAGCAGTAGATGGTTAAGTAAATATTTTGTTTACATGTACCTTCTTTACACAGAGGTATTATTTTTTTTCTACGCTACATTTCTCTCCGAATTTTCTCCACTGCTTACCTCTCAACATAGACTGTGCTATTAATACCGTCACGCGACTTTTCATACAAACCGGACGTAACTCTTAAACATTGTGATTTTTATCAAACAATCGTAATATTTTAAAATTGAATGGGCAACTTAAAGCGGTATTTTTGCTTCTGGCAAATCCTTTATGTGCACAGCCTTGCGTAAGTCAGTGTATATATATACAAACCGGACGTAATTCTAAAACATTGTGATTTTTATCAAACAATCGTAATATTTTAAAATTGAATGGGCAACTTAAAGCGGTATTTTTGCTTCCAGCAAATCCTTTATGTGCACAGCCTTGCTTAATTCAGTGTATATTAACCCTAAAGTGAAACTTTTTCTTTTAGACAAGATGAACATTCAACTTGTGTATTGTCTACATGTTACGTTCGCCGTACTCTTTTTTTTTCGGGACATGGCTTTATGAAGGACTGACTGCATGTTTGATTTTAATTTCAAGCTAAAATTCTTAATGTAATCAAAATATCATGTACTCTTTTTATTTTCTGTCGCGTGGATGCTATTTCTTAAATGCGAGAATAAAACTGATAACAACAAAGAGAACTCATTGCCTATCTTTTTTAATTTAAAAACTGATCATTTAACGCTTACATAAACACTTTCAAACTTACATGTAATTAACTACTCTCTAAGTAGACCAATCTTGTGGCCAAACGGGACATTGATGTCACCTGGCCTGCGGCTAATTACGGAACACCCGTGTAATTTTGTCGGATTACCCAGGTGAAATCATAATGTTATTATCTAGTCTTGATGACAAAAAAGCGCCGGAATTCGGAATGTACAGTGGTCGGAATATACAGTGTTTTGTTCTATATAAAATTTAAAGAAATTTTTGGGAATAAATTATGAGGTCGGAAAGTCCAGTGTGCCGGATTGCACAGTTGTCGGATTGGACAGTGGGCACTGTATAAGTAAGCTTAGCCAAAAAAAAATCTTATTGATTTCACTCCAGTTTTGCAACAGAAAGCAACAATTCAACAGCAACCTTACTTTTTGGCATGATTGAAAACATTGTTGACATTTTAAATTTCATATTTTACTTTAGGAACCCAGAATCTGAGCATTTTGCCAGTATATCAGTACTGGAAAAAACGTAGTGCAATATGATATTTTTGGTTAACAAATTGCAATATTTAATACCGGAATATCGATATTATTGCGCAGCCCTATTAAGAACTCATAAAAAATTTGGTGGCATCTTTTAAAAATCTTCTTCTCAAGAACCACTGGGCAAGAAAAGATGAAAGCTTCATTACATACTATAGATTCAAGTTTGTTCATATCATAACCCCGCAGGGTAGGGTGGGGCCACTAGAGGGGGTCGAAGTTTTACATAGGAATATATAGGAAATATCTTCAAAAATCTTCTCAAGAACAGCAAAGCCATGATTAGTCATATTATATAGAAGTATCCTCAGGTAGTGTAGATTCAAGTGTGTTCCTATCAAGACCCCTGGGGGTAGTGCAGGGCCACAACAGGGGGTAGGAGTTTACCATAATAATACTTTGGAAATATCTTTGAAAATCTTCTTCTCAAGAACAGCTAAGTCATTATTAGTCATATTTATATAGAAATATCCTCAGGTAGTGTAGGTTCAAGATTTCTCAAATTATGACCCAAGGCTAGAAATAATAATTTTTTTTCACTGGTCACTCAGGCTATGGCCTTAAATTTTTACAGGTCAGCTCAGTACTTTCACTGTCCCATTGGGCCAGTAGATTTTAGAAAGACGGGCCCAGAAGCACAATAATAATGTTACTATTTTCATGATTTTGTTGTTTATGTTGTGATACTTAGTAGTACAACTTAACAAAACAAGATATGACAGAACTTGGGACTGACAACGCTGTCAAGTTAACTAGCCCAACCGTGAATGAATTTTGTTATGCGTTTAAAAAACAATGACCCAAAGGGCACATGCCCTCTAAAATGTACTAGCCCAGCTAGATTAAAAAAAAACCCTGCAGTGTTTTCAATGAGATTTTCTGCATAAGGAAATAAATTGGAAATAGCGGGAAACCAATCTAAGCGAGGTCCAGGACAGAGCCTTGGTAGGGGGCCTAGGGGGGAACCCCCCCCCCCCCGAAATCAACAATTAGCATTTTTTACCCAATTTTCTTGCCTCTTGCATGCCTCAGGCCAACAAAAAGTACCATGTTTTTTTAAGCATTTCTGTCACTAACAATTACGAAATTTACCCAATAAAGCCATTTTGAAAACTATTTTTACTCTTACAGATTTGTGGTATAAGGACGTTAGACCATGTAGACAGACTGAGGTTTTTTTTTGAAAATTTTGTGTCTATAAAATAAAAAAAATTTAAAACAACTTTTCTGTGCTAGAATTTCATACTAACAATACTACGTAATTTTTCCCTTCACATAAACTGGGTGATTATTCAATGTCCAGAAAATGATTTATTTAAAAATATAAGAACTTTAACCCCCCAAAAAATGAAATATTCTGCAAACTTTGACTAAAATATCATGTACCTTTAAATTAGATTACTTTTTTTGTACCTGTAGAACAAAATAATAAGGAAAATGGATACAAATTACAACAAGTACATAAAAACCTTCTTAAATGTGAAATTACTGTTCCCCTATTTCAAGAGATCTATCACAAATTTTTCAGTTTGAGAAAATTCTGTAATAATTCCTATGCCTCACAGTTTAAAAAACCCTTTTCTTCGCAAAGTCTTAAGATGATGTCATCCTAGAATAAAATATTAATATTTGCTGTCATGTTTGATATTTTAAACTTGACCAAACTTGAGGCGTGGCAGTGGATGTATTGATTGATTGATTGTATGTTGATTTACGTCCAGTTCGAGAATTTTTCACTTGTATAGAGACGCCACCATTTACCGATGAAGGGCTTCAAATTTAGACCTTTACTCGGCACACAGGGCCATTGAGCAGTGAGGATTCTTTATCCTGCCACGGGGCCTAGGTTTTTAAGGTCTTTTTAAGGGGAGAAAGTGGATTCCAAGTCAGTAATTGTCCATGGGCAAGTGTCTTTTAAAAAAATTCTAGTCCCCTAAACAAGTTTAGAAAAGTTGAAGAGATACACTGTTCAGTGTTCTGTTAATTACTGTAGATCACTCAATTTTTGCGACACTGTATTTTTCGTGAGGTAGCAATATAGTATTTATAAGCAAGAAAAAATATTTCACGAATACATTAGAAATATACATGAGAATAAAATTTTTGCAAGCAGACACTCTCATATAATTACGCCAAAATAACGTATTGGCACATATAATTAAAGTGATTTACAGTATTGTATGTGTATAATAAAAAAAGAAATTATGCTACAGAGATCCCAGTATAACTTTTACTGAACTCGGTAAAACTACAGTCTCATTGTAATTGGCAACAATAATCTGTAATATAAGTAATGTTTTTGTAGGAGATGAGCTCTTCACAGATGCCTATGACTACAAGATAAAAGATGACTTTTTCTATGAGGTTGAGGGAAAAGTAAGTTGGTACCTGTAAAAAATAGTAATTTCTAGTGACAAGGATATAAATTGATATAGTGTATGATATTGTGTAAATTTTGCAAACAAATATTTTTTTTCCATGCCATTGTGATAACTCGTGGTTTATCATGACACACTGGGACTCGCTGTAGCACAATATGTAAAGTTATATTTCACCTTTCATAATTCATATACATGTATGTATGTATTGTGTGTGCTTCTATATTCATGATATTGAAATGGGAAATTCTTTATCACAGTGTTATGGTAAATTATTTCTTCAGTTCATAAAATACATTATATAACATTTAGTAAGCTAGGACAGTCAGGGGTGATACTGAAATCTGTCATTTTTAAAATGACGATTTTTAGTCATAAAATAAAATTTTTATTATGACTTATACTCGTCATTTTTAAGAAAATGACGAAAAACAGTCATAAAAATTTAGAGTGTTTCTAGAATACCGAGTTACCTCTCTTTGAAAAATGTTAGATCCACCAACCGAAAAAAGGACAAAAAACATCGTAAACAAACTTCATTTCTCTAATACAGTTGACTACAATACTGGTTATGTCGACAGTACAAAGGTTCACTTCTATATAAATAGGGATCTGACCTATAGGGCCGGGCTTGGTTTTTTTCTCTACAAAAAGCTTGTCGATTTCCGTTCCGGTTAATGACTTGAGGCTGAATACATGTAACGATTTGTTTTTCATAAATCTTTATTTCAGTGAGTAGAGTTAATAGGAACACTTTCATTGATATTCTGAGTTTGTTAAATTATCTTCAAATGTAATAATTGATATTTTTCTTCACTTCTCATTGTACATAATGGTAATGTCTACTCTCTTTGGAATTCTATTCTTTATGAATAGGATATTTATTTTACAACACTATTCCGTGGATATAATAAAACATGCCATTAATGTGTGCAAATTATATATAGGCCTAAATGAAATCCAAGGGAGTACAGTTACTGATATATATGTAGCCAAACTGTTTCAAAACTTAAGATCTTAGAACATTGACTGAAAACAAAAGTACATGTATGTTATTCTAAATATATTAAGCTCAAATAATTCAAGCAATACGTAACATACTACATGTAACCCAGACAAGCACTGGTAGCACAGACAGAATAGAAGGAATGCGATTAAATTCTTAGGCATATATATACAATTGAAATTCATCGCAGCTCAATGCTGCCAAGAATACCTGTATCGAGTAACACAGAGTGAATTATTCTTGTCCTCGGAGAAAGTGTTGCCGCCTGACTGACAACTGTACATTGGATTGTTACGATTTGAGCTCTCTCTCTAGTGTTTCGTATATCAATAATGGGAATGCATAAAGGATAGATAATTGAAGAAAAATAAACAAGCCTATAAAAATTTAAAATAGTCTTTGAAAACGCGAAAATTTAAAACTATAAAAGTGTGGCACCAGGTGGATTCGAACCCCCGACTTTAAAAAGATAATATCCACGACATAATAGTCAGCGCATATATTAACTGAGCTATTCTAACTATAAGATTGATTGGTATAAATTTGAAGCAGATTGTCAAAATCAGGTTTCCTTATTTTTTATAGGTTTTTTGTGAATTTCGACCCGAGGGCAGGGGTGCCCCTAAAAATATCCTATCTTAAATTATTCCTTACATCCCAACCTATTAAAATATCACAATTTTATTTAGGGGCAGGCCTGCCCTGAAGGACTTCTAGGCCAAAATTCATGCAAAAATCAACGCTTTAACGGACAAAATGGTGTTTCGGCCAACTTTGGAGATTTATTGTAAAGTTGTAAATAATAAATTTTAGTTGTAAAATATAAATATGAAAAATTTAGACATATATACGGTAGAAAACAACAAATAAAGATTGATTTTTAAATGTAACTTTTTCCGGGAAATTGTTCTCTCCTATAGGTCAATTCTTTTGTAATAGTGAATACATCCTTTCCCAAGCAAAAATAAGAGTGGAAGAGTTATTTGTCAATTTATTTGCATTAAATAGGAAAGAAGACGAAAATGACGATATGCCTTTTTTTTTCAAAATGGAGGGTCTGGGCGCACTGAAATATCTTGCTTGTTTTACGGGGCGCACTACTTTTTTATGGCTTTAACTTTTTGTCGAGACTTTTCTCTACAAGTACGTATTCTTCCAGACGGTGTACTATATGTTTTTATAGGTTTAAAAGCCATGTAAAAATGGCGAATTAGTTCTACCAAAATTCGACATTTTACCGCTAAATAATAACTTTCACTTTCCATGTTGATGTTCTAACGCACGTTGTCGGCAGTAATTAGTGACCCAGATGAAATGAAACTTGCGTAAACACTCTTCTTTCAGCGGTGAATTCAAATTTCGCTTTTATGTAACCAGGATAGAAGAATTAAGTTGAAAAAGAAAATATGACAAAAATAAGTCATATTGACAAAAATGACGAAAATACGTAGTTAGTAAATATGACGATTATCCATCATTTTTCAGAAATGACGGATTTCAGTCTCCCCCCTGACTGTAGGAACAAAATAAAAACAACTAAAATAATAATAAAATCACTTTGATTTTAAGTAAATCTAAAAAAAAAAGCATAAATTTCTTAAAATTTTATATGTTGTGATACACAGGTATACATTTTTTTGTTTCGACAGTACAGTACAATTCTTTTGTGCATTACAATATACCGGTATATTTGTTTATTGTTACACCTGTACTGATTATATCCGTGTTCATTTTAGATTGTCACAGTCAGCAAAGGGGCAGGGGACATCAACATCGGAGCTAACCCATCAGCTGAGGGTGGAGACGACGAAGGTGTAGATGACTCCGCAAACACTGAGTCAGGGTGTAACATTGTACTGGGCAGTAAATTACAACCAACACAGTTTGACAAGAAAAGTTACCAACAGTATATTAAAGATTATATGAAGGCGTAAGTTTTGCTGGAGAGAAGAATTAGACCATCTTTAAATTAAATAATTTTTCTGGTGCTTCAGGGTGGGTAGTGGGTATGGTATTTTTATGGTGTCAGGCTCTAGAGCTTGAACGTCATCTAGCAAAAGCGTGATCAAGATCGCCATCAGAATTTAGGTAACCGAATGTGTCAGTCGATGCATCCGCAAAAGAAAATGGTAATAACTATAAATCAATTTCTTTGAAAATGCTCACTATTGATAATAGCTTGAAAATAAAGCTGCATCAATTATACTGTAAACCAACTATTATTTGCGTCAACTTTTATTCACGATTCGTCGGTTTGAAATCAATCCGCGACGATTAATTTTCGCGACTGGGGAAATATTCTCTACAAATACAAAGCAAAATAAATGGTTCGCGGCGATAAATATTCGCGAGTTAAAGTGGGTCGCGAAACTCGCAAATATTTCTCACACGCGAATAAAAGTTGGTTTACAGTATCTACAATTAATTAGGTTACAAAACAAAGATAGTGTTTATTTTCACAGAAGAAAAACATGATAGTTGTTGCAGATGAATTTCTACAGAAAGGGTGCGTTGAGTGACATTGAATAACGTTTCGGAACGATAACCTTGTAACATAAACAACCCAACAGGCAGTAAAACATTCACAAAATTACATAAAACGAATACTGGAAGACTAAAAAGATTGAATTTCAAAATCTTAACTTATTTTTCAAAATCTTAACTTATTTTTACAATCTAATTACCAATTTTATAATAAAAATTGAAGTTATTGACCTGTATTGCTGTATTTATCCATTTCCTCCATTTCCCAGTATACCGTATACCACACCTGATCATAACTCGATTGTAATCCTAACAGAGCAGAGTTATGGTTGTAGTTTAGATGCAATTACTTAAATAGTGCTTAGACATTGGCAATTAGGAAAATAATATATAAATTTTATAAAATAATGTATAAATTCTTCATAGTTCTTCAACTGAGTGGAAAGAGATGAGTTTGATATTCAGTATGAACATGTCCAACGGTGTCTGGTCAATTTGAACCCTGCTCTATTTGGATCATAATATAAGGCCCCAGACTATAATCGTTGACATTTTGTTTAAAATTTTTAAAAAATTTGTTAGGTTTCCTGAATCACACAATTGACCTTTTGCTATCTTCAAATTCAAAAAGATCTTTTGAAATTGTTTTTCATGTTCGACGCCATTGAAGCCTTTCAGACTTTTGATTTGAATTTATATAACACATTGATAAATATTTTGAAAATCACCGTTACAAAATTGGTTAGGGACTCCCTGATTTTTAACTAAACTTTATTAACTTCAGATGTTTGTGAATTGCTGCAAAAAGAAAAAAAAGATACATTTATGGAACTTCAAGGATTTTTATCATGTCTCAAAACTTTTTGATATCACAAAGTTGACATGCTATTAAAATCATCCATTTAAAATTCTTTCTAGAAAATTGATATTTTTGATTAGTGTTGAATAATCGGAGAAAAATCATAATCGATAATCGGTTGTAATCGGAAGCACATAATCGATTGATAATTGGCTATAATCGGGTTTTTTAACCTTTCAAATAAAATAAGAGATTCCTTAACATTTTAAAGCATAATCACAAAAAACAATATTTATAGCCTTCTTGTATTCAAAGTTTAATAAGTAAATAAAGTCAGTAATATATATATAAATAAACAAAATATTTTTTTCAGTAAAATTGTTTAATGACAAAGTATTCTTATTCTTTATTTTCTCTCAGTAAAATTGAAAATAAGAGTTAAATTTCTGTATGATGCTTCATTAAAAAAAGAAATAAATACATGTATACAAATGGGAACATTACTGATATTAGTCACACCTTTTATTATTTATTTTCTTGGAATAACTTTGTCTGATTTCATTTGGACTTATAAAATTGTTTTTTAAAATAGTTAAGTTAATAGAACTTCTGTACTGTTTGTGTATTTCTGATTTTAGTAGAACCGCATAATGCTGGCCATTTCCTGTTATTAGTCTGACCTTACATTCAATGATGGCGGTAAAAATATTGTCAACAACAACTGTTGAAGTGAAATAAAGAAGGTTTTTACGCTTTAAACATTCAGGATAACTTTTAAAATGTCTGCAAATGATTTTTTGGTAATAAAATTTGAAGTTTAAACCTAAATTAACCCTTAATATTTTTGTTTGCGATGTCGGCGACTTTTGTTTCATAATCGATTAGTAGCATCGAAGAGCTCCAATTGATCGACAATCGATTGTCGGCGACAATCGTTTCATCACTATTTTTATTGTATCAGCAGTTCAATGTTTCATTTTCTCAATATGCATATTTTGATCATAGATGTTAATCACCACTGCTCTGATGTCATGAGTCTCAATCCTGAAGTACTTATTAGTTTTATTTTTGTCAGTTTGATACAAAGTACAAAATTTCCATCAGTTTGGTACATTTTTCAGTCAGGATCGTAAGTCAGGTTTGGCATTCGTAAAAACATGCCTCACAGCATGATTTAAAATTAAAAACGTGATTTTCGAGGAAAATAGTTTGTAGAATAATCTTTAAAAGGGAATTCTTTCTAATAAATTTCTTCTTTAAAATTTTCATGTGGATTAGTTACTGATTTAGTGAAACAAGACTTGAAGCAAATTTGAAATTGTTTCCTTCTATCAAAATGTATTGAAAATAACTGAACCATGAAAAATTATACAGTACTGTACATATCATATTGTGAAGGAAGCTTATTGTTTCATCCCTACTTACTGTGTTTACAAAATGGCTCAATTGTTGCAACTATTAATTTAAAACCTGTTAGATAATAAATGATATTTGGGTTATTGTCATCTAGTAAGGTATCCAGGGGTTAAGAATTGCTTGTGATTTTTTTTCAGTCTATTACAGCATTTAAGCACTATTATTTTCTCTGCAGGATTAAGGCCAAAATAACAGAAAAAGATGGACCTGAAGCAGCTGATGCATTTGCCAAGAAAGCACAGACCAGTGTCAAAGAGATTCTAGGAAACTTTAAAAACTTTGAATTTTTTCTTGGCAAGTATTAAAGATTTAAATAAAGATGTTTCATGAGAGAAAAAAAATATTAGCATTGTCATTAAAAGTCAGTAAGTAAAGAAGTGGGTCATTAAGTTCCTTGCAAATCCTTCAAGCCCATTTATAAACTTACCACAGTGGAAACAATTTGGATTAAAATGACTCAGTACCATATTCGTAAACCTTATAACCACCATCTAATAGCCATTACCCTTTCTAGGATAGTGGTCGCAATCGGTGGAAAATAAAAGACTAAAATAACACCAGAGACCTGTCATGATTAGAGAGGTTGCTGGTGTGTTTTTTGTACAGAAATGTAGGAAAATGTTTGTTAAACAAAGGAAAGATGAGTGTTGACATCTTTACCTGATTTCACAAATGTTTGTTGTATGTAAGAAACACATACTTATCTGTGTAATATGAGGAGGAAATTAGTTAAAAAAATCCATATTGGACTAAGGTTGTATCCATGACTGTTGACAACAATTCTGTGATTGTGTTATTGCAGGTGAAAGCCAGAACCCTGATGGACATGTAGCTCTACTGGACTACCGAGAGGACGGAATCACCCCCTACATGCTGTTCTTTAAGGATGGAATTAGAGCAGAAAAATATGTAAGAAAAGAAAAACGTTTTTAATTAGTCCATCATTATAAATATCTTTGTTTCTCTTAACCTGACCCTTAATTCCAAAGTTGGATAGGTAAATAGGTAAAAAAAAATTTCAGAAATATATTCTGAAATTACCTTTATAAATAACAAAAGTACAAAAGTGAACAATTTTAAAATATAATGCAAACGGAATGTAAAAATAAAATTAAACAGTAAATTCTCAACAGATGTTCAAGTGAAATTGTGAAATATCTCACACCCTTTTCATTTATTGAAATCAATAATTTACAAAAGGACAGGATTCTCAGATTTTCAGATTGACACCCACTTATATTTTTCAAACCTACTAAATGCTTCCAGTACTTGCACAGGCAAACTGCCTCTTCCTTATTAAGGAGAGAACTCTAACAAGATGTATTAAAAATATTTTTGAAGATTTAAGACCATACATCTACAATTTCCGAGGTTATTGAACGCATTTAAAAAATTCTGAAATACGTAAAGTAAAATGTATTGAGATTTTTTTAGTATCAAGTTATAACAGGGTTCTCACTACGATTTTTGTAACTTGAGTCCCAGGACTCAAGATTTCTGAGAAGGTTGCGTCCCAGCTAAATTTGATGCGTCCCAGAAAAATTATGTTGAGTCCCAATTAAATTATTACAGTATTCTTCCATCCAAACATCAGTAAAAATCTTTATCATTTTATCAGTTTGCTTACGCAATATTAACATATTCAAGTATATAAACTGGTAATGCATTCAAGCCATATTCTAAAATACACGCGTAATCAATTGCCATAAAAATTAACTTGGTGTTTATAAAGCTAAAATTAACTGTTGCATAATCAACTAGTACCCAAAAGTTGCCTGTATACAATCACACTCACAGGTGTCATGTGCAATGAGGCGTAACTAATCCTGTCGGTCTGGGTGAAATTCACGAGATAATCAAGCCGCATTGTGTATACAAGCAGTGGTTTCTACATGTAGATAACACTCAAGATTCAAAAGTGTTTTTTAAAAAAAAAGCTGCAGTGTGTTTACAGCTGTCGGAGTTTGGCATGTGACACTATTATGACTATGGACTAATAAACATGAAATATTTTATGATCAATCCCTGTTTTAAAAAAAAGAGAAATAAGTACAACAAAAGTTGTTTTTTGGATAAACTTTATGATAGTTACAGGAAGATTTCGATTAAATATTTCTTTGACAAATCCTAACATCAAAATTCCCCGTTTTCGAAATCACCCGAATTTTCTCGCTAATGAGGACGCGTCCGATCATGAGTCCGCGGACGCATCATTTTTAAGAACCTTGCGTCCCAAGTAATTTTGCTGCATCTAGGACGCAGATTCTTGCGTTAATGAGAACTGAAATGTTAGGTTGGGTATAAGCTCTGATTAATCAAGAGTAAATGTATACCTAAGCTTTAAACAGGACGTGTTCTATATATACTACAGAAACACTCTTAATTAGTTCGAGAGATGTTTAATTCATTAAATGCAGAAGTTAGAGGATTCTAATAAGTTACAGACGTATAGGGTTGTTAGGATGCCATTGTTTAAAAATATGACTTTTCTTTCTTAAAAAAAGCTAGTGTGTCCACATTTTTTTTCTCGCAATTTTTTCTAGCAAATGCTTGAAAACCATAGTAGAAAAAAAAATCCTGATTGAAAATTAAATTTCATGAAGTTAATAAAAAGTATTTAAATATGTTTCTTAAAAAAAAGAATTTCATTTGGCAGGATTTAATTGGTCAGGCCTCATTGAGGGAAAGGTACTGTATACAGGGAAATTTTCGCCCCGGTTTTATTTTCACCCCTTTCGCCTTACTCACAGGTGGGCGAATTTAAAACGGGGCAAATTAAAAAAAAACACAGTATAATTTCTTAAACAGAATTGTGACTTGGTAAATTTAAGAAGGGGCAGAATTGCTTGCAGGTGAAAAGGGGGGAATGTATACAGTATTTTTTACATTGGCCTCACTGACTCATGTGTTTACTGTCATATACATTGGTAGAAAGTCTAGCTTGGGAAAATTACAATTCTAGTGAGGAAAGTCCTTGATTTTTCAATAAAAGCTATTTCTAATATCAGTTAATTGACAAAATCTTTTAGGTTACTCATAATCCTTGTTGATTCATTCATCCACCACCCCCAAGATGTATGATCATGAACAGCAGTTGATACTGGACCTAACTACAACTGTCTCATTTTGCTTGATGTTTACTTATTCTAATATTTTAATTTTTCTTTCAGTGAACAAGTCAAAAATTAAATCATTTAAAAGGATCAGAAACATCCAAAAAAGGTGACATTCAGGACTTTCTTCAAATATGTGGAAAATTTTATTGGAATTCTTCAAACTTTGGACCTGAGCATTATTTGATTCTGCTTGTGTCCCATTGTGACATCACTCCTAGTCTCATGGTAATCGGGTACGGGTTTTCAGGCCTTTATTTATTTGTTGACACAGTAAAATATGATATTGTGAGACTAAAGATATACAACTGTGATACATTAAATGGGACTGTTCTTAATTAACGCATGTTTGTTGGCTTATGTCAAAGCTGCAATATAATGTATATGATTATACAATAAAATTTTTAAAATACATAGTTGTTTTTTTTTTGAAATTTTTTAGTCATATATTTATGTGTTTGAGTCATACATTTTGCTGTTTCTCTTAAAATACAAAACTAGTTACAATGTATGAACTTATGATACACCTACGTATAAGATTATTGTATAGACATTACCTTGCCCATCTCAGCATGTGTAACTGTCTGTGCAGTACTGGGCAGACTAACTTTTAGTGGAGAAGTATTGGAAGCTCATATGTATTTGAAAAATTGCTTTATATGACCTTAGGCTGAAATTGATTTGGCAAGGTTTGTAACTGATAGGTAAAGTGTAACTTTCAATTGGAAATGGATTGGAAATTCAGAGAAATACTTGTCTTTCACCTGAAAGTGTACCGTAACATTAACTCAAGGTCATTTGGTTTAAAAAATAATGGTAGAAAAACTGAAATATTTGTGTGTTCCAAAACTGCAAAAGAGAAACATAAAGTGCACATCAATCAGATTGCTTTTGACTTAAATGTACTAATGTCATGACTTTCTCATGACAAGGTCACCGGCAAATTCAAGATCACTAGTAGAAAAAAAAAATGTTGAATTCGTGGTGGATTCACACTTTAATAAATTATATGTTGACAGAAAAAATAGAAACCACTTAACACAAAACTACATGTTACTTGAGGGTGTGATGTGACCTTGTTTCAAGGTTATTTGAAGTTAAAAGTCACCGGGAGAGAATGTATTGATGATGCCATCAAGGACTGGGCACTACAGGACATGCTTCGGATGCTGGATCTGACCTACATTTTCCAGATGAGTGACAAGGTTAACGTTTTTGGAGTAGCTGTGTAGCTATATGGTCTATAATGAGTAAACTTGCGTGGACGATGCAACTAGGGATGATGATGATGCGATAGTGATGACACGATGGTGCGATGATGATGGGACGATGAAGCGATATCCACTACTGCTCCGTCATGCTATCGCACCATCTTCATCGCAATGTCGTTTCATCGCATCATCATCATCGCTTCATTGTCATCATACCATCAACGATGAATTGATGGTGCAATGGCGAACTACGTGGCACATCCAGTTTACATTTAACTTAGGGTTAAAATCCATACCTTACGTCACTCACGATATGGAATACGGATAGGGCAATTTATGGAATCCAGTGAGAGCAACGTAGTTTGCTATCGCACTATCGAGCATCGACTAAGGGTCGATTGTGTGATAATGCGAAGACGATGAAGCGATAGTGAACATCGATTCATCGTCATCGTACCGTAGCCATTGCGTCATCGCTATCGCACCATCGCGTCATTTGGCTACTAGTATCACTTCATCGTATCATCCTTTTATCTTCATCGCATTATTGCGCCATTGCATCATCGTCATCACGCTATCGCTGCATCGCGTCATCATTATCGCACCATGGCTTCATCGTCATCGCATTATCGCGCCATCGACTCTTTAGTCGATGTTGAATGGTGCAATAGTGAACTAAGGTCATTCCAAATTTTTTTTCTATGTTTAGCGTCCGCCTGCGCCTTGGTTTTTGACACCCAATATCAGAAAAAACAAACAAAATCATGAGTCTTGAAATTGATTATTCTGGTCGAAATCTTTTAATTCTGTCAATTTCCCTAAATATTTGTCTACAATATGCCATATTAGATATATTGTAAGCATTTAATATCTCATCTTTGCTAAAGAATAGTTCTTTCTATGAGAAAAATATATTGATGAAATCACACCCTTTGAATGACGTCATTTTTATGACTTTACAGTCTGCGTTTTATTTTTCGCTTGTGTGTTTTTTGCGAAAAGGTAGGTAAAGTTGGGTGGTCACTAAACAGAGAAAAAACTTGGAATGGCCTAAATGCCCTTTTCCATTCTTGCTGGATGACCCAAACACAATGTTCAGACCCCTTTTGTGGATTTTTGCCTGGTTTTCTACGAGACAAGCACTTCATAGGGTTGTCTTCCGGATTGTTAAATGTAAAATAAAATAATAAAATTTTTAATCTACTTTAAATACACTTAAAAAGTTGTTACAACAAAGATTCTGACACTTTCAGACAAGAAATACCATGTTTAAAAAAAACCTACCACACCTATACATACTCTATACTATACATACTCTATACTATTCTCTATTGAGAAATTGATGGCTCATTTTAATACTCCCCTCAACGAGCCATCAACTTCTCAATAGAGAATAACTATATACATACTCGAGTTTATGTATATAGGTGTGGTACGTTTTTTTTTAACATGGTATTTCTTGTCTGAAAGTGTCAGAATCTTTATTGTAACAACTTTTTAAGTGTATTTAAAGCAGATTCGAAATTTTATTATTTTATTTTACATTTAACAATCCGGAAGACAAGCCCCAATGAAGCACTTCTAAAGGCAACTAGATGACCACCATTATACGGACAAATCACATTTTATATTTATGTGATCAAGTCGATAAACTACAATGAACGTGAATGTTTTTAATGATACATGTATCTATATTCTCATTGGAAATAACTTTGGAAATCCATGTTTATTGCAACAAATAAACTGTCATAATACTCGGTAAGATTTAGAGTTGATCTAGCTAGAGATAAAAGAACAAGAAATATTTACATTTTGGTTTTTCTTCATTTAGGATCAGATTTTGAGAAAGTAAAATTGATTAATCGTAAAAGGACTGCATACCAATTCCGGTAGAGATAACTTTTTACTTCTGAACAGCTTTTTTTCTTGCAATACTTTATTTAAATAATTTATCAGTAATAAGTTAATACTTTAATTTAAGATATTTAATTTAATACTATTTAATAATAATGAATAATAATTCATTAATTTTTCATAAGTATAAAATGTATTCACATACTACAGGTTTATATATACATGTATATTTTTATGTAAAAAAAAAAAGAAAAAAGATCCACCACTTAAAGTTTGAACCACATTTTAAAAAAATTGTCTCTTGACCTAGTTTTAATATCCTTACAACCAATGGCGAAACGCCTTGCGGATAAAACGTTTAAGAGACCCGTACACGTATGTAAAATAAAAAAAAAACACTTCCTTGTTCAAAGCAATCCGAAAGTGTGAATTATTCCGTACTAAATCATGGTATGGTACTACTAGCTGCGTACCGGTGACGACTAAAAATATTTGGACAGTGCAAGGTGACACACCAAGAGCAGATTGATTTCTTGTAAGTGTATATTTATTGAGTATACTACTTATGATCTCTCTTGTTTACATTCCAAATATTTTGTACAGACTTTTTAAATGTAATTAAAGTAGGTTGTTCTGCTTTCAAGAGGTCAATTAGGGTTACATGTACAAATGTTGATTTATTATGGTTTACGTACAATATCATTGTCCAAGTGCTGAAATGAATAATTGACCCCCAAAAAAGTTATGTATATTGGGATACGTCGTTATAAAATGTATTGTATGCTAAATCCAGTGTCTCTTACATACAGTGTACATTGTAACGTCGTCTCCAAAGTGGGACGATTTCTGTCAGTGTATAGTGATAACGTAAGTCTTACAAATTTTCTGTTTTTCAATTCTCATTATCTAGAATTTACCCCCCCCCCCCCCGCCCTACTTTCCAATTGTATCCTCTCTTTATATGAATAATATTTAAAAAGTAAAACAGAAATGAATGAAAGACACACATGTACATGTACACCTCTCAGTAAATCTGACGAATAAAAGTAGTTTCAGATTTGCCTCTCTGTCTCCCGCCATCCTCTCTTTTTCTCTCCCCTTCCTCTTTATCTTTTTCTGTCATTTCTTTCTTTTTTCTGTCTCTCACGTCTCTGTCTGTCTCAGTTCAGGCCCGTAGCAACGATTTCAAAAGGGGGGGGGGCAACTCCCCCCCCCCCCCCAAAAAAAAATTCTGACAAGCAAAAAATAAATAAATAATATAATATAATATAATAGAAAACATAAACTGACCAAAACGTTGGGGACTTCCCAAAATTATATGGACTAATTTACAGTTCAAATCCTGGAATTTGCCAATGCTCGACCTGGTAACATTAAAAAGTGGGGGGGGGGGGGGGGGCAACCAGCATTTAAGTGAAAATTTATACTCTTAGCAAAGTACTATATTCAGAAAAAAGTGCCCCCCCCTCCCCGGCGTTCTACGGGCCTGCAGTTGTTACTTGGGTGTTTGGAATTAGTTTTATGCTCTTCATAGTAAGGAATATATTATATTTTGGGAAAAATATATTAGAGTGTTACCTATAAGAGCTCAAAGAAGCACTGATTTTATGAAGGCATTGGCCTTTCAAATTAGAGAACAGAACTTACTGAAACTACAGCTTTTTTTCTACGATAAAAAAGAACCATTGTCTTTTCCTTTTAAGAAAAGATGAGGCTTGAATCGACATTTTATATTAAAGGTTTGATATAAAAAAAAAAAAAAACAACCTTTAGATATATATCGAAATGATTTACGCCTGGCCTTGGACCGGACTTGGACATACATGTATCAACTGTTGATGTGTTTGATAAGATGTCGGATGTATAGTATTCAATCTTTGAGATTTTTCAAATTGCAAAAAATTTAAAATTTACACACACCATACTCCATTAATAAGCTTTAACTAAATTTAGAATTTTCGTTGTTCTGTATCAAGTAAAACATTTAATTAAATGTATCTGTGATGTACTAAATCCCGGATTTGGGGAATATATTTCCTATAAGTATTTGTCCTCTGACCTCAAAATATGAAATTGAATTGACCTTTTAACATAAAATCCGAACTCCAAAATGTCCAAAAATCTAGTCTTAAACTTCACTAACGCTTTAACCAAAGTATAAAGTTTGTTAAAAAAAACGAAAAGACCAGCTAAGAGACTAAAGTAAAGTCGGTGTGCATGTGATGGAAACGGGGGGGGGGGGGGGGGGTGGCAAGACATTCTTTCAACTAAATTTATTTTCACAGATTTTTTTTGTGAATTAAAATTAATGAGTATGTTGGGGGAATTCAGGGGTTTCCTTGGACATTGAAGAAAAACTGAAACAATTTCTCAGAGAATGCAAAGATAGCTGGTATTTATAAGGCCAGACTTGTCAGAAATGTATCAAAAGAAAAGTTAAGGCATTTCAATAAGAATTGGATGAAGCACATCTACATGCATTGAATTAACATATAAATGAAACATTATTTCAAGAATTTTGTACACATATTTAAATTTAGTAGACACAAATTTTTGACGAAATTTCTTCTTTTTAAAATCAATACATTATAGAATCTTGTTAATTTGAGCTTTGTAACCCATATATTTTCTGCCTATTCTGACTAAGCTCTTCGCTAATAGTGCGGAGTGGAGTGGACTAAAATCCACTGACTTGCAAAATGCGTACATTAAATACTAGTAAAGAACGTGGCGCAGTAAAGGACAAATGTGGCATCTAATTTGACTGAAAATTTCACAATTATAGAAATGTGACAGCTTGTAATTGATAACTTTTAATGTTGTTGGTTCGGAACCACAGTATGTGATTTTGACACGCGGCTTTCATAGATGAATTCTTATTCCAAATACATTTCATTTCGAAAAGCACAGGGTGTTTGCTACAGCATACCTAAATATGTTCATATATGGGCCATCTGACGTACATGTATGTAAATAACATTTCTGAATTTTTGTAGAGAAAATGAATACTAGTGAAATATTATTTTTAAGTACATAATTTCCGGGTCTATTTCTTGGCCTATTTTTCTTTCAATATAACCCGCAATTAACTTCTTACTGATTGATAACTCGACCACACGTATATAAAGTATAATGCACTGTTTTGAAAAAAAAACATTCAATAAATTAAGGAACTAAGAAAGGGTCTTATCAAAATATTCTTTTCAATACTTATAAACACAAATGTAACCTGGTTATACTTCAGTGAACTGACTGACCCATAAAAATAAAGAGACTGTCGAAACAGTGCTAAAAGAGGTTGACATAACGTTCCCTGACTGGATGTTGTGAAAGAACTAAACGTGTATGGATAAAAACTTATAATTTTAAAGGGTACATAGAGAACGTCTATAAGTTGAAAATAATATCCCTTGTTTTATTCGAAATCCCTAATACAACTGGAGGATTCAAACAGTTGGTTATAAACATGCTCTTTTCACAGGTTAATGAAAATACATACCGTTAACATTTTGGCGTGCTATATTTTAGTGGGATTTTATCTCGACCACGGGTTGAACCTTAATAAAACATGTGATCGACTTTCTTTCATTGCTGGATTGCTATATGTATTTTTGATTTTGCACTATAGAATGTCTTTCGTGTATTTAAATGTATCCAAAAGCAGGTTTTAAACTGATAGCTCTAATCTAAAGTTATGTAAATTTCAACACTAATATAAAGCAAGTAGAATTCAAAATGCACAATACTAACAGTGACAGCCTCTGTCTTACCCTGAATACTAGTGATTTGATTCCAGTATGCTCTATTTCCGCTAAACTTCTCGTTTTGTTTTCTGATTATTACAATATCAAAATAATTCAACAATGAGATCCTAAAATACCATATAGTCAAGTACAAATCGTGAAAATCCCAACTGCTAAAATAGTTAAAATGAAAAACGTTACTATATATCGTGGAACATGAATGGAGGTTTGTAATTGCCCCATCTCTTTCTCCTCCAAGTTCACAGCACAAGCATAAAGCCTGCATATACTGAGTACTTCCTTGTATCATTGTCGGACAAGCATGTATACACTTGAATGTAGTTCTCTTGATATAAGCACAGCTTGAAAAAAAAAATGCAATATACATGCCTTATATAGGTTAGGACAAGTAATATATTTAATTGGTGGTATATTTCCTCAAGAAGAATGCTCGACAATTTCCTCTTTCTGTTGGAGCCGTGGAAGACATGTAAGATGTAATTTCCTTCAACAAAATGTTGTCAAACGGAAAGCGTCTTTATTGTAATAATTATAATTATAGGAATGAAAGTATAGATTAAAGTTTCCAAAACTGTTTCTGTTTATACGTTCTCTTCATATTTTTATATTCGTCAGAAGAAAAAAAAAAGCACGGGTTTTCATAATATTATGTTACACGGGTTTTCATAATATGTTATACAAACAAGAAAGAGACTTCTAAATCATAGAAAAAAATTCCCTTGCTAAGGTAAAGCCGTATCAGACCCATTGCAACGTTTTTCAAAGTGGGAAAGGTGGAAAAGGGGGGGGGGGCAAAAAAGAAAAAAACCCCTAAACTACACTTAAGTCGAAAATTCTGTTTTGTCTTTCTCTTATTTTTCAGTTAAAAAAAATCAGTGCGAGATTTTCAACAAAAATTGGGGGGGGGGGGGGGGGGGGAGTCTTTAATTACTTAGTATCTAATTGAAAAATTTCATGTTAAAACCCAGCAAAAGACTATTCTCCAATAAAAGTGGGGTGGGGGCCCTACCACCCCCACCCCACCCCATTTGCCTGTATTTTACATTAATTAACTTAATTTAAAAAGAAAAGAAAAGAAAACGTAATAAACAGTGGCGGATCCAGGAATCTCGAAAAAGGGGGCCCGACCAGTTTGGGGTCGGGGTCGGGGCCCACGGCTACACCAAAAAAAAAATGATTTATTAAATCTTATGTATATTTTGGACACAAAAGGGGGAGGCCGGCCCCCCTGGCCCCCTTCTAAATCCGCCAGTGATAAATACGCATACTACATGTACATTGCCATGTGTCCAATTGTTGAGATAACCATATACTATCATTCATTCAGCATGCAGAGTCTGTTCAACAATGGACTCTTCATCTCATATTTTTTGAATTGACACTAAAATAGCTCGGGTACATTCATAAATTACAACAAGTCATATACAAAAAAGTAAATTTAGGTTAACGGATATTCCCTTTTAAAATTTTATTTGTCACGAATTTTTCTCCGAAATGCCTTCTAGCCACAGACCTTATAGCTTCCGCTTCTTGAGCGGATAGCATTACTGTCACCGTATGAAGTGGTTGTTAAGACATTAATAAGGTTACATTTTCTCTTCAGATGAGTTCAATGCGTGGTTGTTTTATGAAAGGAATATAATTATATCAGTTCAAAAAACTGTGTCAAATTTCGATGTATGATACATTTATGAACGGTTCTACATACATGTATGTACGAATATTTCAGCAGGCACTAGTTACATGTAGGCAGATGATGGAGGGTGGGAGGGCTTATCCAATAAATCGACACATTTAATAAATAAATAAATAAATAAATTTTAATAGCATAAAAAGCGTATTTTTGAGATGGTGTTAAGTATTTTTCCAGAAATGCAGAGATATGATGCGACGTTTTGTGATGGATATTATATACATGTACATGTGTATAATTATGGCAATTTTAAACTATAATTAGGAGAAATTGATCTAAATTTGGCAAAAGCTATTTATTCTCATGTTTAATATGTATATTATAGTCAACGATATCATTAATTTACTGAATACAATTCACTTCTGTTTTTTTTTTGTTTTTCTTGCAGGTAATTTATATATCAAGAATGTGAAGAAAGAAACAAAATGTCGGACAGCAAAATTCCTCAACCTTTAGATAATATAGGTAATGTATGAATTCTATATAAAAAAAGACATGCAGAGAAAGCGGAGACAACACATATTTTGAGAAGAAAAAAATCACTTTTAAATGTTTATTTTCCATCATAAATTTGCTTTCTGCATTCATAAAAACTATAAACATACAGTATCACCATTTTGTTCTTTGGAATTACTCATGATTTGGAGAAAAATCGAGTGGTCGCCATGGATACCATAAAATATTTGTGATTTTTTTTCTGAAGGTTGTCAGGATCTGTTACTTGAGGACTACTGTCACAGTGGTTGGTTAAGAAAACAGAGCTTTATAAGCAGATTAGGAAAATTTAGATGTTAGTATCCCTCTCTCTCTCCTTTAAATACTGTTACATCTACAATACTTTTTCAGTAAAAAAAAACATGGTAATTTATGTTATATATTTATTCCTATTTATAAGCCCTGGCTAATTGATTTTACAGGGCCACAGATTTACATGGTAGTCAGTGGAGGTTGTATCTATTATTTTAAAAATGAATACAGTACCCGACCAGCGGGGAAGTTTACACTCTATGGATATAATACGTAAGTAGGACTGTAAAAAAGGACATTCTACTGTAAGGCTGTATAGCAGGGCAGTTTACACTCAATATCAGATATAATTTGTGAGTAAGGATGTCAAGCTTATACTTCATATATACAACTTTTGATGAGGTCTACTCGTGACTATACGGACCATGCAGGTCAGATATTGGTTGACCGACGCTCGTACACCTTGTGTCAAACCCTGACTACAGAAACTGTTTAGGCATTGTACATGCAAAGCACAACACTTTTATTTAAATTAAAAGTTCTTGTAATATCCTGTAAAAATATTTATTTATTTATGTTAATGATAAAAAATTAAAATTGACCAAACGTTCTCAAAAATTTTCTTTAAAAAAAGATTCTTTTTCTTAAAAAAAAATGCTTTAAAGATTTATATGTACAAAGAGTATTGGTATTATTCCACTTCACTCATCTAATGCAAATCAACGGTTGATATGTTAGTGTACACTTTCTGTTTTCAATGTATGAGTCAAAATGTGTTTGTAGTACATCCTTATATTTATATCCTAGGGTTGCCCGAGCGCAAGAAAAGGTTTCACCAAAAGTGGCACCCTTCGCCTTCAAAGTTGTTCACGCCTCCCCAGAATATAAAACGTACTACTTCGCTGCTGGGTCGGAAAAAGAAATGAAGGCAAGTTTGAAATAGATTAGAGAGAATTCGAGTTCTGAGGTACCATAGCATAAAAATTTTACTTGCTTTTCAAAGAAAGAAATCCGGTTTTCTGTAGAGGACACTTGTTATTAAAAAAAACAACTTGTGGATAATTTATTTTTACATTATCCCGCACTGAAATTACATTGTAGAGCTTTCATTGCATAAATGCTGGATTTAATGTATATATCTACAGCATTTATGGAATGAAAGATAGTGCATTGGATTCTATGGCATGTCAAACGTTGCAATATTCGATCTTTTCCATTTGTATTGTATAATTTTTAATTTGTATTGTATAATTTTTATTTGTATTGTATAATGTTTCATTTGTATTGTATAATTTTTCATTTGTATTGTATAATTTTCAATTTGTATTGTATAATTTTTATTTGTATTCTATAATTTTCCATTTGGATTTTATAATTTTCCATTTGGATTGTATAATGTTTATTTGTATTCTATATTTTCCATTTGTGTTGTAAAAAAAGTCATTTGTATTGTATAATTTTTCATTTGTATTCTATATTTTCCATTTGCATTGTATAATTTCTTATTTGTATTGTATAATTTCTTATTTGTATGCGATAATTTTTCATTTGTATTGTATCCGAGGATTGTTTATTTATTTCGTTACGAAGGATGTCATTGGTCATAAAATTTAGTCTGTATAAAGGTGCCCATCACAAACTTAGTCTGGTACCCTTCCCACAATTCCGATCGCGCACTCTCTACAAACACAAACTCGGCTCCTCTATTTGCGGTGCATGCTAAGGGACGACCATTTGATTCTCGGGGGGTGTCGAATCCGATTATTTATTTTCATTCTCTCGCAGGAGAGAATATTTATTTCCAATATGACCAGAGACAAGGAGAAAAACAAAAAGAAGAAAATCCGCCCAAACCCGAAAACTCAGTTTTTTGGGGGTGGGGGTAGTTACCACCACTCAAGGTCAATTTATTTATTTTCTCAATCAGCATTCCTAAGGACAGATTATTTATTTGCCATCTACCAGCGCTCCCTTTTTAGAATCCAATGACCGTCTAACATGCACGCAAATACATATGCCGCCGAAATATGGCTGAAATATTGCCGACTCGGCGTTAAACAATAATCAATCAATCAAGTAAGCAAGTACATATGAGCCCAGTTTGCTTTGAGCATCCGGAACATCTTCAACCCGATACAGGCTGAAACTTGACCAATGAAATCCTTCGTAACGAAACAAATAAACAGTCCGCGGATACAATACAAATGAAAAATTATCGCATACAAATAAGAAATTTTACAATACAAATAAGAAATTATACAATGCAAATGGAAAATTATACAATACAAATAAAAATTATACAATACAAATGAAAATTATACAATACAAATAGAAAATTATAGAATACAAATAAAAATTATACAATACAAATGAAAAATTATACAATACAAATAGAAAATTATACAATACAAATAAAAATTATACAATGCAAATGGAAAATTATACAATGCAAATGCAAAAGATCGAATATTGCAACGTTTGACATGCCATAGGATTCACTCTAACTTAGACAAATGTAGAAAAATCTGTAGCTCTACAATGTAATTTCAGTGTGGGATAATCTAAAAAGAAATTATCCACAAGGTTTTTTTTTTTTTTTTTTTTTTAAATATATATATATATATATATATATATATATATATATATATATATATATATATATATATATATATATATATATATATATATATATAATTATATTTTCTTAAAGAAACATTTCTTGATTAGCAATTTAATTTGCAGTATAAACATGGTAAAGGCCAAATAAATATCTTGCGCTTTCTTTGATCAGGAATGGATGAGACGTATTAAAAGTCAACTAATGAAGGCCAATGGCCAGAAAGCAGACAATTATTATTATATGTACAAGTAAGCGAAATTTTATACATGTATGTGTTTTTAAAAAATTAAAAAAAATGTGGTAAGATGAATTCTGGAAACATTGCAAAAAACAATACACAATATTGGCGTGTTGAAATAGAAAAATAGCTGTATCTAAATTCTTTTTACATTTTTTTTTATTTATTTCGTTAGTTTAAACTACTCAGTTTAATCGTAATGAACATAACTATTGTAAGGAAAGCTGAGAAAGAAACAAAAGCAGCAGAAGAAGACGAAAAATCTATGACGTACCAGGAGATAGAAACTGACATTTATGGTGACACTAATGCCTTCAAAGCCACGAATGACTACGCTTTGAAATTCAAGCTTAAAGGAAGAGATGATGGTAAGCAAAAGGTTTATAATTCTGTAGACATATCAATAAAAAGATTTACTTAATGATAAAAGAGCAGTGGATATTTGTGTCAGGCTTGTGAATTGTTTTACCAGTCTTCTTGGCAGGTTAGTAAATCCCAATGTGTATACGAACTGTAAAACTTATAAAAGTAATACTTTGAAAGTTATCTAAATCTTTTCAATTTCTGTAGTTCAATTTATTTAACTGTGTTTGAATTATGTACTGATTTTTAATAGCACTACTATCTGTTACACTAGAAAGGATTTTATAAAACAACTATAGTTTGGAGAAAAATTCCATATTGCAGTGTCAGATGATGAGGATATATCTGTACCTGCTCCCCCTCCCCGGAGAGGACAGGGAAAAGACGCATACAAAGAAAGACCCCCTGCCCCTCTACCTGAAGAGGAAAACAAACCCTCAGTCCCTCCCCGACGACAGGCAGACACGTCTCAGCCAGTGAGAGGTCAGGGAATAAACCATATATTAAATAAACCAAATTCTGTATCATAACCCCACAAGATACATTTTTACCTTCTTTGAATCATTCTCTTATATGTTAGTAACCCCCCCCCCCCCCAAAAAAAAAAAAAAAAAAAAAAAACAACCCCAAAAACCCAAACAAACAAACCAAACAAACAAAACAAAAACAAAGCCAAAAAAACCCCATCTGCTTACCGTAGTTAACTTTCGAGATTTTAGGTTTCCCAAAGCAAAACACAGGCATTGCATGCCATTCTTTCTATAACATTAATCTATAGTGATGGAGTGTCCATCCTTCCTTAAGCCCATGGCATATAACACTTGGGAGATTTACCCATCTCTTATCCCCAACTTCTCCTTTACATGTACAACTGAATAACATTTAATGAGACTATCACAGAACCTTCCTTAAACAGGTTGGAGAGAATACTCGAAATCGGGTATTATCCGTGAAATCGCGTATAGTCCCCGAAATCGAGGTATCTTTGTATCCGCGAAATCGGGTATAGGCGGTGTAATCACCTTATAAAACTTAAACAATGGGATAGCGCATTTTGCCGAGTCAACTTTCACCTAAAGACAAATGTTATCTAAAGGTATCACTAGCCAAATAACAATTTGGAAGTCTGAATTAATGCGCATATGACAACAAATACCCGTGGAGCTTAGCACATTTCATGATCTGCACCCAAACAAACGTTCGTTCTGCTTTTATATTTTATATAATGTTAAATGTATTTGCATCTTCTTCATGTTCATACCCAACACAACAGAACTATTAAATATCAGAAGTCTGGAATTCATAATATTTCCACATCAATACGACAAACATGAACATTTTGTAAATAATTCAATTTATACGGAAACACATTTCACACACAAAATAATCTGACATTTAAACAGGGGGGTTTTCTATCGTATTTAATTATGCGTCATTAATTGCTTTAACATTCATCTTGTGCAAAAAAATAATTCATTACAAAATGTATAAACTATTTAATGGTTAAAATGTTTCAAATTACGGCAAAAACTAATATAATGCGTATATTATTTAGTATTTTTTCGGAGGGGGGTGTTATGAATCTATTTTCATCAGTTGATTTTTTTGTCGTTGAATAGCATTCCTTACATATATCTTGTACCAGTACATAATTATGTTTTATAAACACAGAATGACAATTAAAGCTAATTTCCAGAAGTTATAAAAGGCGACATATTTTTTCTTATTTTTTTTTAAATTATTAAAATTTCCTTTGGATTCAACATGCCTCCAACGTTTTAGCAAAGACAATGATGTTCTCAGCAACATAGCTTGTGAGAGAAAATAACTGTTGATCATTTAATTTCGCTGAGTCGGCAATATTTTACCATTTTTCGGCGACTTCAGGGGACGAAAGTGAATAGGTATAACGGTTGTTATTAGCTGCTCACATTAATTATTCCTTGTCCGGACTATCTCGGTCAAGCGAAAATTAACCTCGAATGTGTTATGCATGTGTCCAAGAGAAACATCCCTCCCCTTTCAAAATAATCAAATTAAATGTAAAATGTTATTGTAGAGTTTTGTGCTAAACGTCATTGAATGGTATATATTCATTGCATGATAAAGAGAGAAGATCTATTCATCTAATAAAAATCATATGGATTCCCTATTTTGCCCTCTTGAGTGAATAGAATTCTTCATATCTCCAAAACATTCATGCAAGAATTGTTTATATACCGAAACAATATGAGGTTAAAATAGAAACCTGTTATTTTCTACCACATTCGACTAGTTTTAAAAAAAACTAAACTTTATGTTTATTTTTAACACATTTTCCACAATAGATGAATAATAACAAAAAGTGATAACCATGAGTAATAAGTTAGTATCACAGATTACAGAAAAGACAGGGAATTATGAAGTTTTAGTTCCCTGTCACGTGACGTACTGTCTAGAATCAATCAGATAACGTATTTTAGCATATTATAATGAGGTTTAAAGTGATATAACCTAAAATAAACTACAGACTCTGAAGGGAAAATCTACCCTGTCTATCCAATACTATAATAATAATAAAAGAAAGTGTCTCCAATCTGTATGGATGATTAATTAAAAACAATGCAGCTCAATACTTGAGCTAAGACGCGATTGAACACTCCACTTCAGTTTGTTCATATGTATAAAAAGTAAAAACAGTATAATATGTGAAAACTTTAATACATAATTCATATTTGAATATTAGCTTTATATTGAAAATGTATAATAAGCACATGAAAAGATGTGCGAATTGGATTTTTTAAATTTATTTATATGAACCAAGCCCCCCCCCCCCCCCCCCAGCTAAACGAAAATCCTTTTAACAAGACATCTCGTTCTCAATTTCCACACAAACTAACGTCGCTTGCATCAATCAAAATGCAACCAAAACATTGGCGGGTTTTGAATGAAAATTTTCATGGTAAACTGACATTTAAATATTTTCTTTAAAAAATACGCACCTCCTCCTTTCCCCGCGGGAATTGCAGGACTGTATACATACACCATAGGAGGAACTGATGATTTTACTAAAGATTCTTTACCTTTATCAATATACACTGTATTAATTTTTAAAAAAGTATTTAAGTTTACATGCATGTACACATGTAGATATTAAATTTATTTCATTTTATATCATTTTTCAACCTGTTTTCCCTTTGTTGTTTTTTTTTATGTTTGTTTGTTTGTTTTTATTTTATTTTTTTCCCTTACGAAAACGTAGGTATTCTATATCGATGAGAAATACTTATACTTACCAACTGAGGAATAATTTAAATTTAACGTGAAAGGGACACCATACATTTTTAAGTAAAAAATACATAACACAGCGTAACTAGTCGTTAATTTTCTGCAAAGTTTTACATTTTGTGAATAATGCACAGGTAAAGAAATTAAGCTTGGGGAATAATTTATAGGGAAATAAACACAAACGACATGTAGTTATTTGTTTTTAGAACTTGTACTGAAAAATAATGACGCCACCGTGCCTTCTTTGCTACCCCAGCAGTGTTTGTCGTGTGATTTTAAACTTGTCAGATAACCATCGAAATTGAGTTCAATAAAAATAAACTCCCAAGATACTGATGTACAAGTAACACTAACTTACACAATGCGCCGTTGCTTTATTTTTTCTGTTTTTACAGAAAGTTGCACGGTATACCCGATTCAGCGATACCCTGATATCGAGGACTATACGCGATTTCATGGACAATACCCGATTTGAGTATTCGCTCCAACCTGTTAAATACTAGTAGTGCCATTTTCACCTACTATTCTATGCTCAGCTGACAGAAATTTGGGGTTGCCCATAGCAGAAAATGGACTTGGTCATTATACTCATATAGGAGTGGACGTATCAGATCAGTGTGAGCTCAGTGCTCTCAGTACCTGTGGTTTTATATGAATTATTTCAAAGAAAGTGGGTTTTGATTCATATTTAAATGAAAGAATATAACATTGATAAAATCTCTTTATATCTAACTGTCGGAATTGAACCCAAGCCTTGTAAACCAAGTAATAGAAATCAAGTTATCACTTCAATTAAAATCTTTTCTTTTTCCTCAGTCCATTCTGTGACAGTTTGATGTTTTCCATTTTTTGATTTTAACATCTAGAAGTGTATCGTTTGATTCATTTTGAAGATGATAACCTAATAAACAATGAGAACCTAGAAAACCTTTTCGCGACACCTTATCTTACGCTAGATAGATATTTGGTATTAATAAGCGAAACAAAATTTTCACGAATTTTGTTAATGTGTAATATATTTTTTTTTTATTAAGACAAATATAATTATAGGAGACCGAAATTTTAGCTTACAGATGGTTCTCGCATAATTACGCAAATATAAAGTTCTTGCTAATAAAAGTGATTTTACAGTTTTTGCTTATTTGCCGGCCTTAAACCAAAAGCAGGAGATTTTTAGAATATTGAAAATACATGTATATAATAAAAGATAATAATAATGCAGTAAAAATACAGCTAAATTATTTTTTCCCGAATTCTGACTTTAGAAGATTATTATTATGTGTCCCAGACTTTCTTAAAACGACTGATAAATTTTGATGTTTTTATAAAAGAAGAAGGTACGGTTTCAATACAATCTGGAATATGAAATTGTTTTGAGAATTTACGGCTCATACTTTCTGAATTATTCAAAGTCCATGCCGTAAGAACAATTAAACAAATCATATTCTTATATAACTTCCTATAAATTGCCAATCGTGACGTCATAAACGTGTGCATTTTTTTCCCAATATTTTCATAAAAAGTTTGCAGAAGACATCAATTTTCAGTGGAATTTTCTTATACACCACATGCATCGCCAACAGAGTTGTTTTAAAAACTTTTCACATTCATATATTCAACTCATAAACCAATTTCAAACCTTTTGGAAATTAAAACAAATTTTTTGGGCGTAATCAAGCAAAAATCGACCCTACTTCTTTTTATGAGGTGGTTTAATATCTTTTTCAGAAAATGAACAAAGAGAAGGTGGAAGACGTAAAGGATCCATGGACGCGGCCGCCAGAGTGCATGTTAGTTAAACCTTTATATATCTTTATACGAGAAAAAAAATGATTGATTAAGGTTTATTATTTTCTGTTAGCAAGTTCCACCTTGTTTCAATATACTGCATATACACATTATAGGTTTTGAAAGTAATAATGGATACTGTAAAGTAATAATAGTCATGTACAAAGATATCTGAAGAAAAAAAAAGTTAATTAAACAGTGTAAATTAATTCTGTGACACAAAGTACATTTAGAATTATGATTTTTTTGTTTATTTCTTACTTTGAATCACAAAAGTACATATATACAATGTTATATGATAATTCCTATATAAGATAATTAATCCAGCAAATCATTTTGCATGTGTTTACAACAGTGTGTCTTAATAAGTTCATGATAATCTGTTTTTATTTTGCAGAAAGAATTATCAGAGACACTTTCAAACAGGTACAGAGAAAAACTATCTATTTGTCATTTTCACTTTTAAGCAGTTTTGTAAGCTATTGTTACAGTATTAGGAATATTTTGTAGTAGAAAATTGTGAGCATCAAGCACATAAAGGACAATAAGACTTTTTTTGATTCAACATAATGCATGTTTAGTGTGTAAAATCCTAATTGGAGCAATACTGCAGGATGAAACTACTTTTTATTAATTTTATCATTAATTTAAGATATTAGATAAGCAAAGCCTCCTCATTTCCCAGAGAAGCTTGTTCAATGTATCTATGTATTGTTGTAAATAATAACAAAACTATAAGGCCACGTAGTTCACTATCGCACCTTTTGAGCATCGACTTAAAGGTCGATGGCGCGATAATGCGATTTGGGGGATGGCGATGAAAAGATGGCACGATCACCGGTGAGATAGTGCGATGACGGTGATGCAACGGCGCGACATCATCGCTCTCGCGTTATTGCACCGTCGCTTCATTGTCATATCACCATCGCTTCATCGCCATTGCATTATCGTGTCATCGCACTATCGACCCAAACCTCAATAATGCGACGATGCGATAGTGAGCAACATGGCTATACTGGATTCCATACAAAACAGAATTTAATTTCCATCTATGTTCTAAGTCACTCTAAAGGAAGGCGAAAAGGATCAAAAGACAAAGAAAACACTCCAGTTTCTGACAGAAGAATGGCTGAAATTAAAGCTGAAACAGAGGAGGTTATTGAGCTATTTATTAAAAAAAAAATAAAATTGAAATAGTGTTCAGTTTAATTTAAAGATGAGCATACTTTCCTCCGAGGAATCATCATAAAAAGTTTATTGGGGACGAATATTCCTGAATTTCTTAGGTTTTCCTTACCCACAAATTAACATTCATACGGATGATAACTTGTATCAACTTTTGACTGTTCTCAATGTAAGAATTCGGTCCCCAGATATTAGTAAAAATTTTAATTTCCCAAGAACATTTATACAAATGAAGAAAAAAAATCCACAGAATGTGATTGATTGATTGATTGTGTGTTGTTTAACGTCCCTCTCGAGAATTTTTCACTCATATGGAGACGCCACCACTTGCCGGTGGAGACCTGCAAATTTTGTCCTATACTCGGCACTTACGGCCATTGAGCAGTGAGGGGTCTTTTTCGTGCCAGCACCTACTGCAACACGGGGCCTCGGTTTATACGGTCTCATCCGAAGGACCGGTCTCCACCTCCCACAGTGGGATTCGAACCCGCGACGTAAGGATCAACTCCTTACTTCGCGACTCTAGAGCAGACACTCTAACCACTGCGCCACGCGGGCGACTCCACAGAATGTGAATGTTATAGCTTAAATACTAATATTCGCACAAATATTTTGAAAATATTTACGTTTTTATATTTTCTTAATATGATGCATAAATAAAGATCTCTATAGCATATAAAATTGACTTTCATATGATATTTGAATTATGGTTGCTATAGGACGACGAAGATGAAGATAGCGAGGACTATTGGAGTAATATTTATTATGACGGGGACGATAAAGAGAAGGCACAGGAGTGAGTAGTATACAGTTGTAGATAATATATGTCTCTAGATATGAAATGTGATATATATGTTTTTATATTTAGCATACTCAACCATTAATGTATAAACATGGAACTTCGATTATTACTTTTTTACCATCTGCAATGTCTGTGTGTTACATACTATCTTTTTTCTAGTATTCATGAATTAGCACACATGTATTCTGCAAAAAGATGCCAATTATAATGTCGCTTAAATTAATTACAAATAAAGATTTTTGCATTGTGAATTGATTTTATTGTACAGTTTGATTTCAAATGTAAAAATCTAAATTGAATTTTATACTTTTTATGCTTTCCTACATAAAACAAAATCTCTCATTTAAAAAAAATACCCTGAAGATAAATAATTGTAATATTAGAACATGTTAAGCATTGAACACCTACAGAATCTTAAAATTTTATTTGTACATGTATCATAGATCATTCATCTGTATATAGTAGTATTTATTCTATTTTAAAAACAGAATAATACGGAATATTGGTGAGGATGGTGTGTATCTGATTCGGACAGGTGCAGATGGAGGGCAGGTTTGTAAAGCCTTTTCTCTATCAAAAAATCATTAACTGTTGAAGAGACTCTACAAAAATACATGCATAACCTTAAAAATTAATTTGTTTTGGCAGGTGTTGGTTGTTTTTGCAGAAAACATGCCAAAGAAATATAAAATTACCAATGAGGTCGGTATTAATATTTACTTCAGCTACATGTACATCAACTTAAGCCAATTATTCCAAAATTATATAAATAATGTAACAGTTCATTAATAAATATTTTTTTTTAAAGAAAATGGATAAAAGCTTTCGAATAAAAAAAATGTTTCTCAAATCAAATTTTACAAACTTTGAAATCAACTTTTCTTCTTGTTTCAGAATGGTGAATTTTACCTCAAGAAGGAGGGTCCCCATTGTGACTCAGTGGAAATGCTGATGTACACCTATTATTCTACAGAGCTTCCTACAGCAAAATCTTGTCTAGAAACACCTTACAAACTCCACCCAAAGTATAAAGGATAGCAGCTCTTTAATGGATTAGCAGTATTAAAGTTGTATTTTTTTAAATCCTCTGCTTACATATTAAAATGTAAAAAACACTTAAGCATCAAGAATTATTTAAACTTACTATAAATTATTTAAAAAATTAAATAAAACAAATATTTTTTGACCAAAAGTCAAAATATAATTTTTCATGGCCTGTAAGAAACATACTCATATGCTTATCAAACAAAAAAGGAGAAAGGTTTTTAGCGGTTATTGGACTTTCCTTTCTCTAACCTACATGTAATTTAAATTTTAAAATATATTGTGTTTCTTTGATGACACTGATTATATATGTTTCTTTTTTAATTTATTTCCATCATACAGCTACATCTTTATAAATTTGTTAATTGAAAATTTAAGAAATTTAAGGCAGATATTGAAGGAGAGATGATAAAAACAATTTTTTTTTTTACAAAAATCATGTAAATAACAACTAAATCTCTTTTTAAAGTAAAATGAATAAGTTTAGTCATATAAAGTTTCATTTTTCATTCAAAGTTTCTGAATGTTCAATAAAGTGATAAACAATTGTATAAATTTATAAGAACAATGGCAAAATGGAAGAAAGTTGAATATCAAAGAAAGTCTTTTCTTAAAGAAAAATATTCTAGAGATTAAGTAGATGATATGCATTATTTACAACCAAAATAAGTCCAAAAAATATAAACCAATCTGTGCATCTTATTTCTTGTTTATAGCAGGTGTCTTAAAGGGAAAGTCTCAAAGCGCTCATCTTTTCCTTCCACGGACCAATCTCAATCTATTTTCTCTTTTGTAAACTTAATGTGGCATACCTTGTACCTTGTCAGTAGCCTTCCCCTTTGTACGTAACATTTATTTTTCAAAATTGCACCCTGTACTAGATAAGATAAAATTTTCCTTCATTCATATTATTTATTCATTATATCTACCACAAAATCAAGTTTTTTTCAGCCCTGCCTTGGTACCCACCTCTTATGCAAAAAATCTTGAATTTAAGTGCTCAGCTTTGCGAAATCACTTAGATAGATATTTTAAGCAGTAGAAATAGACCAGTTTAACGTAACCGTATTTTAGTTTGGTGGAAGAGGTTATAACATGTTTGAAATAGCTTAATTACAAATGCACCTAAAATTATATTTTCTTTGGTTCATCACACAAAGAAATATTCTTTAAGAAGTTTGTTTTCATTTTCAAAGGTGTTTTGAGAGGAGAGTGCTGTTGTGTTCTAAAATTAAGCTTCACATCTTCTGTGATTTACTTCAAAAACGTTGCGTGTTCGTTATGTTCGATGGGTCAGAGAGACGATTGTAATTGATATATTCTTAAGGTTATGCTTATATTAAACAGTCCATAATCAGTACTTCTTCATCATGTGATAATAGTTTAAAATAGTCATATATTTGTATGAATACTGAACGTGTTTTTAAGTTGTTATGTTGATTGTTTGGAAGAGTCCATGTTATTAATGTAGTAATATGAAGTACGAATGTGCAACACATTCAACGTTATTAGTCAATAAATCTGCAGAAATTCACATTATGATTTTTGTTTATCAGAAATGTTTTAGCTTCTTTTTATTATTCTGATACTTAAAAAAATCACCCAAACAAATTTAATATGAAAAAAGAAAGCGTTTTTGTACAGTGGATTGAATTTTCAAGCGTAACTTGAATAATTTGAATGATGATTGAAATGCGAATTGAAGGGGAGAGTGGCTTGATTTGTGGCATTAAGCCTCCTTTCTTTAAAGTGGTATATTTATACAACACAGTGGGGAAGATTACTCTTACTATTTACATTAAAAGTTTAAAGTGAAGTCAAATTTGACGTTAATTATTAAGGAGGGATTCTTCTCATATTTCTTGTATTTAAAAATTAATGAAATTTTCATAGATTCAAGAAGACATTATCATTAAGTGATTATATCAATTAGATTAAATTTGACAGTTTTATTTTAAAAGCAAGGTCAGGTCAAGGTCAATATCTTTTTCCTTGACCTTGAGAATAAAAAAATACCGTTGCCAATCATGCGATGCCTACTTCCATTTCAAAAGATTAAATGTTTTTCTTTTTGCATAAAATAATATTACCATATAGAGTGTATCAGATGAAACTACCAAATTGACATAGATAATTTAAATAATATAGATAATGGCTAATCCGAATGATATATTAGTTATTTTTATATGCTTCGTATATTTAAATTTTTCTTATTTTCAAATATGGTAAAGTAGTCTTATAAAGATACAAATGAATACAAAAACAAAAAGTTTTGATCGTTTACTAAAAGAGAAAAAACACTTTTTACGGATTTTTGGCTCAAACCTGTACTTAGATCGGAAGCTTTTAAAAGATAACAAAATTATAGTTTGTTTGAAAAATCATAGTTATTTGATATATTTTAAAACTTCAGTCCATTATTATTAATTTTTACTTATATTTAATATTTTCTTTTAGTCTTTGATTGTTTATTTTTTTTAAACTAAATTCATTGTTCTATAGTAATTTTGAGAAGCAGAAAAGGAGATATTTTCTTACGCCGCCATTCTGCCCTGATATAATCCCTGATACATTTCAAACTCAGTTTACCATTTCTATTTAAAGTTGTACAATTATGACGAGGAAAGAAAAAATATGATCTTTTAAATCTCTTACATCTAAATATAAGACATATAAGAAAATATACTTTGAATATTTCATCTAGTCAGAAATCAGACAAGAACCCCTCCTTAAGCGTCGAAATGACGAGCGATACGATCCCGATGTATTTTAAAGAAAAATGGGATTAGGGGCTTTGATAGTGATTTCTTTATGAATATAAAATCCTATCCTTGATTGTTTGCACATTTGCAGTCACCCTCCCTTCAATAAAATGGAAAAAAGATTATCCCCTTAATTTCTTTAATTTCATATTATGCGATTTGTATTCGCAATCATACCACATGTCACATTTCATGTGACTTTGCTTTTTTCCATTACAATATACTACATAATAGGCAGATTACTAGTCTCTCTTATAATTATGCAAATAATATTGTTTAGGTTTTCTTTTACAAAGTTGTAAAAAATTTATAAAGTTGTTTTTAAATTTCATATGAGTTCACTGACCAAAGAGAAACAACTCTAAAAATGTTGGAGATATATGTTTTTTCACCCCCTATTTGAGTTAATCCTCCTGTTTTCCGAACAATTGTAATATTTTCTCGAATAAACAGATACATTTACTGTGAGTTCTGATGTACAAAGAAAATGAAAACTAAAATATATACAAAGTAAATAAGTGAAAAAATTGTTTACAGAAATTAACTGCATGTATACAATACCTCATCGCGACAATCTGGACTGGCCTTCTTTTACTGTGAACAGTTTTAGTTCGATTTTCCTCAAATAAAAACAAAACGTTTGATACTACGGTACATTTATTATTCAGCCACATGAATAAATTTAATGAAAAATTTACAGTTTGATACATTGAAGTTAATATGGACAAAATCAGAATTTCCATTTTATTTGTAGAAGCAACAGAATGAAGCATACAATATCGGGAAGTTGGATACCCTCATCCCTCTCTTGTTTAAAATAATTAAGAAAGTATATAATTATGTTCATTTACATCACAGAAGAGTTGTACATACACCATTGTGCGTTCACTTAAAAATAGTAATATTAAATCCAGTGAAAGTCGAATTCGTATACAGTAATACAGGTATGAAATTGAGTGCATGTGTACGGACTACAAACTGGACACGTGGACATAAAATTCTTAGAAAATCAGTTTTACTAAAACATATATCAGCTGTAGTACTACATGTAGTTGTCAATATTTAATCTTGAATATATGAACATGAATGAATGATCTATAGTACTTTAGAGATTCAATCTCCAGATATAACCAATGTTTCATCAAGCTCGAATTGCCTACGTGACAAAGGAGGAAGAGGGGAGATCTTAAAATATTTAATTGGTTAAAAGAATAAGTCATTGAAATTTGACAGGCTATCTTGACTTTTTTGAAAATCATTGAATGAGTAGTTACCAAAAAGAAAAAAAAAAAAAAAAAAAAAAAAAAAAAAAAAAAAAATTCCCCTCCTCGTGAACAGCCAAAAGGGGTTAACTTTTGGAACTTCCAGTCCCAATACGACTCGGGCGATTTTGTGCAAAATGTACATACACATAGTATATATATATAGTTATGTATAAAATAAACAAAAATAGCAAGAATTAAACGACGGGGATTTTTGGGGGTGGGTCTGTTGTACATCATTAAGGACTGAGATAGCCGAATTCTCGAAATAGCTTGTGTTCATACGACTATAACTGAGGACGCAAACGTGCAAATAGATTAATACAGTCGTTAAGCCAGTGCACACGACCTTAATTATCGGAGGAAAAAGTCTTTGACTGTTGTTAAGATAATATGTATAAGTTATTCAAATAACTGGTATGAAAATTTACAAAATATGAATGATAAAGTACGTGGATGTCAATTACAGCCCTTCATCTATTTTTCTAGTTTTGAATTCATTTTTTCCATTATGGAATCAAACCCTAAATAAAACAAATAGGTGGATCGAAAATAGTAATTTTGATAAGTGACCTTGTGAAAATTCTATAAAAAATAAAAACCATACTGAAAACTTTCCAACGAGAGACACGGTAACAAAACGTGTGCAACAGATGGGTTCCTTTTCGTGAAATGAAACAAAATCAACCATACATGTGACATAATTTTACGTGAATGATATAGTTTGTGACTAAAAACTGAACACGACTCGTAGATAGGCCTACATCATATTAGTTTTTTCTCTCCAATATCAGCAGTGGGGTATATAAACCTTTCCCATTCTTTAAACCTGATTGCTTTTAGCTGATCGCTGCGGCGTGTAGTACATGTATATCTCAAGTTGTCCTTTTTGTTTGCGTTTCATTTAATTGAAGTTGAAGGTGTATTTGTGTTTATTTCACTTTGTAATGCATTGACCTGTGCAGTTTATATCGAATATCTTTTAAATAACTTTTTCCCTGACGTGGCAGAAGCATACAGAAGTCATTTTTGTCGCCCCCCGAGTAATCACAATAAAAATGACGGAGACGTA